ATCGCCGATGACGACCCGATCGGGCACCAGATCACGGCCGAACCCGACCGTCATGCAGGAGGAGTTCGTGCGAGGGTTGCGGATCGATCGGATTCGTCGAGCACAGGATGAAAAAACGTGGATCGCGAGTATGAAGAAGTATCTGATGGGAGATGTGGCTGATCTGACACAGGATGAGGCTCGATCATATGGCAACCTCGCCGCGGACTACGAGATCGACGGTGATTCTGCTGTTCTATTGCCCACCCTCCAAGCGATCGAATGCAGATCGTGATGGACTGATGAGACTGGTGGCACCGGAGACGCTGCATCAAGACATCCTGCATCACTATCACTCCACTCTGGAAGGTGGACACCAGGGGATCGGGCGTACATACCAGCGGATCCGCGATCACTTTCATTGAAGAGGTCTCTTCAGAAGTGTGCAGAAGTACGTCGGCGAATGTGTCGACTGCGAGACCGGCAAAGGACGACCCACGATCAGGGGCGAGTCGCCGGGAAACATCCAGGCGACATACCCGTTCCAGATCATAGCAATGGATCACATACCTTCGCTACCCAAGTCGTACAAGGGTAATACGGAACTGTTGATCTGGGTCGATCTGTTCACGGGATACGTGATCGCGAAGGCCAGTTCCTCCCGAACGGCGCAGACGATCGCCGAGTCTTACGAAGAGTGCGTGTTCCGGCGATTTGGTGCTAGCGAGGTGATCAGGCACGATCGAGAGCCGGGATTGATGGCTGACTTCTTCCGCGCCTTTAACAAGATCCTGGGTATGCGCCAGCGAGCGCGATGGCATATCGACCTCAGGCTAACGGTACTGCAGAGCGAATGGTACAGACGGCGACGAGAGCCCTGAAGATGTTCGTGGAGGATCTGGATCAGAGGGATTGGGATGAGTACGCAGAGCGATTGACCTTCGCGATCAACACGGCTCAAGATCGGGTCCGTGGGGACTCCCCTTTTTATCTGGTGCATGGATGGGATCCTCGATCGACGCTCGAGGCAACGATACCTTTGGGTAGTACCCGGACTCGGGATCGGGATCCTCGACGGTGGCGTTATCGGATCCAGAAGCACTACGATCAGGCTCGAAGTCAGGTGAATGCTCGACTACGCGAGGCGATCGCGGATCGGGCCGATCGACACAATGAAGAAGTTCGACCGCAGTCGATCGAAGCTGGATCTCAGGTGTGGCTGTACCTGGATCGTGTGAAAGAGGGGTATGCCCGGAAGCTGGCTCACCTGTGGCACAGCCCGTTCCGTGTGGCGGAGAAGGTGAACGAGTACACGATGAATCTTCAGATCGCTGGTACGGACTATCACCTATTCCCGATCGTGCATGTTTCGAAGCTGAAGTTGGTCATTGACTTCCCCGATCGACCGCAGATCGCACTCACGGTGGACGAAGCAGATCGACTCGATTTCGACGAAGTCTTACTTCCGGAGGACAGCTGGGCCCCAGATCGAGACTCGAACGAGTGCGAAGTGGAGAAGATCACGGATACGAGAACAGGTCGCAGGACTCGGTATGGCCGGACGTATCGAGAGTTCCTGGTACACTGGAAGGGTTATGACGAGCCTGACTGGGTCGACGAGGCTGATCTCAACTGTGGAGCTTTGTTGCACCAGTTCCTTCGAGATCGCGTGAACCGGAACCGATTTGGCGCGATGCAGTCTCACGAAGAAGAGTGAGATCGGACCGCCAGGGCGAGCTGGTCGCCTTGGTGAGTGACGGATCGACGGGGAGGCCGTTGATCGGAGGAAGGGGGTTTATATTCGATATGATTGTGTGCATATGAATGCAGATCGGATGATTATGGAGCAACTACAAGGCGCTACGACGACGGATCTGGGCTGATCGGGTTGGTGGCGAAAGGTGGTATGACGATGGATCTGGACTGATCGGGTTGGTGACGACGGATTGACTTGAGAGAGGTGACCAACAGTGACGAAGATTACGGTGGTGTTTATTGATCCGAGACTTTCATGCTACGAAGATGCGCGATCAGCCTCCAAAAATCGAAGATTTCACGACAGACGAGCTGACCAGCTGGACGCTGAATTCGATCATCCGAGCTGGGGGATGCTGTTGTTGCTGCAGACACTCTCTATTGGGGATAAGTTCGTTGAGGAGACACGCGATCGGCTGTTCCAGGTGATCCTGGGGCGGTAGCAACCTTTGGGTCCTGCCGGTGATCGTCGGTGCCCGCCTCGATCAAGCGGAGTAATAGGTTTCACGACGAAGTGTGAGCCGTTGATACTGGGATGGTGAAGTCTTGTCCGCAGTGAGCCACCGTGCGGCCCGACCCGACTTACGGACAGGGGGCGGTTGTGGTGAAGCACCGAACAAGAATTTCCAACTGCGATGACATCAAGCGACATGGTGGCAGAACTATAGGCAGGGATCAGGCTGCGGTCGCGGATCAAGAGGGTCTATCGAGAGATCTCAAGCGATTGGATAACGTCGACGCGTAAGGCAACACATATGTCAAGACAGATTACGGGCGATCGCGCTTGGACTGCGGCGTGATTCGACGTAGACCCAAGCCCGGATCGACGACCAATCTCGCTGATCTAGGGCGGCCGAGGAGAGAAGAGGACGGATCGGCAGCGCACGGCAACTCGCACAGGTCATCGATCGGGAGGTGATCGCCGATCGGGATCGATCGTGGATCAGGAGGTGATCGTGGATCGGGAGCCGATCGGGGTCGATCGTGGATTGGGAGCCGATCGTGGATCGCCGATCGACCCGGATGGGAAGCACATGGGGGCGAAGCCAGGGCAAGAATCCAGTAATCGTTTGGTTGTAGGATGGTAGATGAGATGGCAGCGGTAGAGAGAGACCAGCTAAACATAAATCAGAACGCCATTTGCACAGAAGACCACAAGTGCCCTCAAGTCGTCAAGTCCCAGGAGCTACATTGGCCTCGGCAAGCGTTGACACTTCGGGTAGTGAACTAGCGGTACGGTTAAGACTGGATTAATACATTGGCCAGCTTGACCTACGCTAGTGATCTTTCTCTCGTGTGCAAGTCCTCGATCGGCCGGATACTGCTTGGCCGGCGATCGCTGCGTCTCTCAATCGACCTCGATCCCGCTATAGGAAGCGGCAAGCAACTCAGGAAAGGAAGGAACACACCCGGAAAGGCAACAACAGGCCTTGGATCTACTCCAGGCCGACCGATCGAAGCGAAGAACCCTCGATCGGAGCGTATACTCGGACGCAGAGCGAAGACTACCGCGCTGCTCCACAAACTATCCCCGCGTCACGCCAAGACACTCGATCTTCACCAAGTGCTGCATCTTCGGAGCCCCGAGAGAGCAGATCCAGCCCGCCGACGGGTACACAAGGTGAGAACAAGTTCAGCCGATCACGGATCGTTGGGGGACCCCCTCCGTTAGTCGGTGTTTGGGCGCTGGTGGGAAGCTCGATCAGGCCTTAACCAGATTTTGGCCGATCCCGCTACACCACATAGTCATATATGCGCCTACAGCTCCCTCACAATAGCCCCCACTCCACAGCACGCTGGGCTGCCTGCCGTTCGAGCACTCGGTTGCGGTGCTGCTGCCGCTGCTCTTATTTCGACCAAGACAGCAACGGCAACGGCAACGGCAACGACCGCGCGTTTCCTCCGGTCACAAGCGACTCTGGAAATAGAATTCCAAATCACTTGGCGCCCATCTCCGCAAAAAGAAGGCCGTGGAAGCTTGCAGCTAATGAAACTCCAGACGGGCGATCCTAAACTTTTTGGCCTTACAAAGCCCCTGCTTTTGTTAGGCCCATTCTGCAACCAGCCGCGCCCGCCCCAGATCTCTCTCGATGGCGACGCCCTCGCTGCGCCGCGACCAGCCCGCGCTGCGCCTGCCGCCGCCTTCCACCGCCATGGCCTTCGCCGCCTCGCCCTCGCCGCGCGACCTGCGGCCCATGCAGCGATCCATCACAAACATGAAAAGCTGCTTGACAAGCTAGAGCGCGCGAAGAAGAAGAAAACTCAGTGATTGCGTTTTCGTGGTGCAACAGCACCTCGTGGTTGTCCTACCTTTTATTTTTAAAAGTAGTAGTATCCGATTCAGTGAACACCAATTAAATGTCAATGTCCACTTTCACTGTTCATATAAACTGTTGTTATGTGGTATTGTTCTCGAATTGCTGAATGACCATCTTGGGGCGCTTGTGCTTGGCCAGAACTGCGCTGAGTTCGCCCTCGGTGATGCGGGTGCTGTTAGCCTTGTCGTCGTACAGCGCAGTACAGCAATGCAAATTGTAGTAGCGCGCACTAACGCAGTATGCGCCAGCACTGGCGAGTCGCCGGGCAGCAGGCGTCCAGATTTAGAAGTTCTGTTGATTTTGAGTTTGGAGTTTGTTTTGTGGTTTTGCTAGATTTGATTATTTTTAAACGTTAAAACTGTTAAAACGTTTTGGGTTTAAACTTTTAAATTTTAAAAAAGTTCTGAATTGGAGTTCGCTGTCCTAAATTAGATATTGGTCTCCTAGATTTGTGTTCTACAATCTGAATTGGATATCATAAAAGAAAGGGCCAGATTTGTGTGCTCTAATCTGAATTGCCCTTTTTAATAGAAAATCCAACAGATCAGAGAGAGTTCAAAGTCTTTTTCTTCAAAAACAAAAAGTGAAGGTTGGAAGGAAATGTGTTAACTCGGCTGGCTCAACCTTTGTGCTACATCATGTTCCAACGGCAGTTCGGCAGCAAGCAGCGGAAGGAGGCAGGAAGTGTGTAGCACTCATCGCCACCCGTAGTTCTGTCCACCAGCTTCAGAAAGTGAACTGCGGCACGCATGACATTCGTGGGTGCCCGCAGAGGCCATGAATCGCTTGGCGCCAATTAGCGCCAGTACAAGCAGCACTAGCATTTTACCTCATTTACCTCACAGGCATTCCCAGCCAAGTCGAAGACGACCTAGTTAGCAAAGTCTGTATTCTTACTGAAATGAAAAATGCACAGCAAGAAAGAACCGGGGCTCTGACCGTTCCTCCCTACCAGTCGACGGATTGGAATCGCTCCAGGGAGGCCTGGGCCTCGCCGAGGTCCTTCTGCACCTTGATGCGCTTGTAGAAAATAGGGCAATCGCGGCTCGAGCACAGCACGTCCTGGTGCAGACTGCCCTGGCAGTTCTGGCACTGCGTCCACAGTCGCGCGAACAAGTGCTCCAGCTCGTTGACCGACTCTAGCTGTCGTGAAAACACCTCCGCCTCACGCTCCACGCAGCTGCGGCACAGCGCACCCTTGCCGTTCAGCGGGGCCTTGCAGCCCAGACACTTGAGCTTCTTCACGGCGAAGTTCATCATACCTCCGCTGTTCTGCTTCAGGACGGGCTTGGAGCGCTTGAGCGTGTGCGCACCGTTCAGCAGATCCGACTTGACCTTGCTCAGGCCAATAATGGGCTCGAAGATACGCTCCAGCGGGTTCTGCAACTGCTGCTTCATGTAGTAGTCGCAATCGATCGGGATGTTGTTCTCCAGCGCATACACCGGGTCTTCAGCCTTGTCGTACAGCGGCGTCGCTTTGCCCTTATCGATAATTACGTAGGCAATGCGCTCACCCAACGCTGGAGCTGAACCGGGGTCGCGCTTTCGCATGCGTTCCGCCAGCTCAGTGTGAGCCTGTTTCACTTTGTAGTCGTCCTGATCCACCGTCTTCTTCAGTCCCTTCGTGATCACCAGCAGCGAGATATCGATACGGTTCTGGAGCAGGTCCGAAATAACATTCTTTGTGTACGAAATGGCTCCCGGTACGTCACGATTGATAAGGATCTTGCGCAGCACGGATTCCACCATGCGTCTCACCAGCAGACAGTTGTCACGACGCACAGTCTCAAGACCCTTCGAGTCCAGCTTGTCGTACTTCTCGGGTTTCGTCCAGAGCAGACCAGCGTATCGCTTCTTGTTCATCAGCAGGTACGGGAAGTACACCTTCTCGAACTCGAGCTTGATTGGGTTCGGGAAGATATCCGACACACGCTTGGCAGCCTCTTCGGCAAGCGGCATCGCTTCCTCCACCGTGTCAACGCCGAACTTAATCATAACAGAATCCGTATCACCGTACACCACCTGTGCATCCGCCTTGTATCCGTTGGCAATAGTGTAGATGCGCTCGACCTCTTCCCGCGTCCGGAACAGAAGCTGACGGCCGTATGCCGTGGTACTGGACGCGATAGGAATACACGGCATTTGGCCCACAATTGCACCGGTGAAACCGTACACCGAGTTGGCACTCACCTTAAGCGCTAGCTGTCGTCCATTCTGCACTGCCTTTTCCATAGGATCGGTCGCGGCATTCATGTCCCACTTCGCCTGCTTACGTGCCGCCAGCACTTCCTCCAGAATCAACGGCAGAATACCCTTCTTCTTCTTGCTAGTCACGAAGATATCGCCTGAAGGAGACCTCTCGTAGTCGCCAGGAGCCAGCTTGTCAACATCTCCGGGCGCAACCAGTGTAGAGTAGCAGAGGTTGAAGGCCTGCATGATCGACGGATACAGCGACGCAAAATCTAGCGTCGCGATAGGCACCGAGTAGAACGCCTTCTTGGGCTCAATCACCGTAGCGCCTTCATAGCCTGCATCTTCGTTGTTCTGGGAGCGAGGCAGCGTCGGCACGACGAGAGACGCATCCTTGCACTTGCGCAGAAGCATGGAGAAGACCTTAATCTGCTGACCGCGCTCAATAAGGAAATCAATGGGCACGCCGGAAACACGAGCCATTTCAATGAAGTTGACGAGATACGAGAGCTTGTCAAGCAGCCGCAGCGGTAAGTAGGCGTCCTTCAGACAGTAAACCGCTAGACGATGGCGATCATCGTCCGTACCACGCTGCAGGTCACTGATAATTCCGTGAGGCACGTCCTCCTTCTGTTGGCCCAGGAAGGCTGCGCTCACAGCGTTCAGGGAGTACGAGCTCAGCTGCTGGCTGCGGCGCATGATCGGCAGTAAGTCGAACATGCATCGGCCGTGGATTGTCGTCTTGACGTTTTCGCTCTTGCCGTACTGCGCAGAGCTGAACGTCTTCTTTTCCATGAACGCCGCCCTGCATGATGAGATAACATCAACGTCAATATAATCGTCTTAACAAAAAATAAGACGTGGGGATACGTACTTGTTCGCCAACCGACCCAGGAGATTGTAGTTCTGCAGCTTGAGCGCCTTGCCACGGTTGAGCAGGTACGGGATATCGAAGTTGGCGATATTGTATCCCGTGATGATGTCCGGGTCCACTTCCTGCACGAAGCGCGCCCACTTCTCCAGCATCTCTCCTTCCTTCTCGAACTCCATCACGTGGGCACCAACAATGGGCTTGCACGTGTCCAGCACGAACACATTGCGGATGATAGGTGTGTGGGATCCCTGTTCCTGCACAACGTTGGCGATCTGGATGACGGGGTCCTGCTCCGCCTCAGGGAAGTGGCCCTTCCGGCCCATGCACTCGATATCAAAACTGAGGATCCTCAGGGGCGCCACCTTGCCCCACTGCCCCTCGGGGGCGTGGCTGACCAAGTTGTCATAGGTGATATCGATCTCCAGCTGGCACAGCGACTTCTTCTGCGCCGTGCTGCGCACCGAGTACGCGCCCTTGGGGGCCTCCACCCAGTTGCAGCCGCGGATGCCCTCGTCGATCATGAAGCGCAGGATGAACGGCACGTTGCTCTCGTACGTCTGGTAGTTGCGGAAGTCGCAGCCGGGCAGCGTGAGCCCGCCCTCCAGCGCGCTGCGCAGCTTGGGCACGTAGCTGGGCATGCTCAGGTAGATCTTGAAGAGCGTCGTGTACCGGTCGAACTGGTACCCGTAGATGGACATCTTGTCGCGCACGACCTGCACGCCCACGACGCGCGCGGCGCTGCTGCTGTCGCGGTCCCGCTGCGACACCGCCGCGTCCAGCGCGGCGCGCACCTCGCCGCACCTGCTCTCGTCGAAGTTGTCGGGGCACACGCAGTAGAAGTAGGGCAGCACGCCGTGCACGTGCATGAGCACGCTGTGGCCCTCCATGGAGACGCCGTAGAGGCGGATGATGGCGGCGTTCTGGCTCGCGCCGCCCGATGCCTTGAGCCCGGGCACCTCCGCGCCCTTCTTGGGGTTCGCGGGCAGCGGCGGTCCGTCGTACATGTCGATGTCGATCCACTGGAAGGCCACCGAGTCGGCGCTCGGGTCCACGGTGACCATGGGCTTGCGCGGCCAGGCGCTGGCCTTGGTGGCGATGGGCGCCATGTGCTCCAGGTCGTCGGCGAAGGTCGCGGGCTCGGCCTTGGCGCCGTACGCGCTCAGCCGCGGCTTCTTGAGCTCGGCCACGGCCGCCTCGGCCGCGCCCGGAGGCGACTCGCGCTTGAGCCCCGCCATCGATCGATCTAATCCACCAGGTATTAATAAGTGGCCGTTCCCGCCAAAACGGCAACTTGTGTGTTGTACGTTAAAATGGTGTGGTGGAACATAGATTTCAGCTGCGGTCGGGAATAAGTGAGGCAGTTGAAGCGGCACGCATACAAAGATCAAGAGCAGGTGAGCAGTCGGCACCAGTTAAAGCGGACTGGCGCCGACCCGCACTCCGCACTCTCCGCCGTCGCCATGCCGCAGCACGCGCAGACGCACGACCTGGCGGCGCTGTTGGCCTCCGACCACGTGCAGTACGTCAAGGCCCGCCGCGAGGACTTCACGCGCTCCTACTTCCCGCTCTCGGCCGCTGAGATTCGCGCGCTCGAGGCCAACGGCAACACCGGTACGGCGGCATATATAGCGGTAGCAGGACGCCTGGAATCAGATGTGGGCTCATAACCTGCTTCTTATGCCACACTTCAACGTTATCTGCAGCTGATGACTGGCGCGACGTGCGCAAGACCCACGAGCACGCGCCGCTGCAGACGGCGAGCATCCGCCAGTGCTCATTCCACGGCCGAGTGGCGCTCGGCAGCTTCTCGGCCTCGTACAGCCACGACGTGGACGGCATCCCGTTCCGCTGCGGCGTCTACAACTCGGCGCTGAGCAACGCGGTGGTGCTGGACCACGCGCTGGTGAAGGACACGCTGGTGCTCAAGGACGTCCTCGTGGACGCGCGCGCCGCCGTCATTCAGTGCGGCAGCGTCACAGGCCCAGCAGCGAGTGCAGGCGCCTCCGCCTGTGGCAACGGCCACCTGCTCCACGTGGGGGTGGAGACTGGCGGACGCGACCTCCGCGTGGTGGCGGACATGCCCTTCTCACTGGGCGCTGCAGTCGCTACGCAGAGAGGAGACGTCGAGTTCTTGAAGACGTACGACGCCTTTGTGGACAAGTATGTGGCCGAGGTTAAGGCGCCGATGGCGATTGTGGCGCAAAATGCGCGTGTGCGAGGGTGTTCACGGGTGGAAGGGGCATTTGTGGGCGACTATGCGCTCGTGGAGGACAGCGACATCGCCAATTCGACGATTCTGTCGACTGCGGGGGAGCCGTCAGTTGTCCGGATGAAGAGTATCGTCCGCGACTCGATCGTGCAGTGGAACTCGACTGTTGAGGCGCTCAGCGTGGTCGAAGGCGCGTTCTTGTGCGATACGTCGCATGTGGAGCGCCACGGCATCGTCATGAGCTCCGTGATTGGGCCCAACACGTCCGTGGCGGAGGGCGAGGTGACCTCCAGCTTCGTGGGGCCGTTTGTGGGTTTCCACCACCAGGCGCTCTTGATTGCGTCCGTCTGGCCGAAGGGCAAAGGCAACATTGGCTACGGAGCGAACGTCGGCAGCAACCACACGTTGAAGGCGCCAGATCAGGAGCTGTTCCATGGCGAAGGGGTGTTTTTCGGGCTGGGGTGCAACGTCAAGTTCCCCAGCAACTTCGTCAAGGCTCCGTATTCGGTGATTGCAACTGCAGTCAACACGCTGCCGCAACTAGTGGCGATGCCCTTTGCGCTGATTAACACGCCAGCTCACATCATTCCGTCGCTGTCACCGGCCATCAATGAGATTTCACCAGGGTACGTTGTTTTAGGAAGCCTCCACTGGACCGTCTGGATGGGCTGATGTTTGTTTCTGTTGGCATTGCATTTGAGCAGGTGGGTGCTCTCTAGTAGTGTTTTCACCGTGCTGCGGAACGAAGACAAGTTCCGCTCTCGCAACAAGTCGAAGCGCACACACATTGAGGCTGCCATTTTCCGCCCAGAAATTATCCAATATATGAAAGGTAAGCGTGTGGTAGTGTGTTCGGATGGGATCAGTTCGGCATTCTAAATGGGCATGATGCAGACGCGCGTTCGGAGCTCGAAGCTGCCGAAGGTAAAGCAAAAATTAGCCTTCCTAATGGCGAGGCCGTGTATATGGACAAGCAAGTGAAGGGCTTGGGCAAGAACTACATGCGCGAGTCGTCACGGCGAGCCGGAATCGCAGCATACACGTTCTTCATCAAGCTTTATGCTGTCGAGGCATTGCTGTCGCTGGTTGAGAGTGGCAAGGTATCTGCTGATGGCACTGTTGGCGCTACAGACAGGTGAGATGATCGTGTAGCTATTAACCAAATGGTGCGCACATACACTAACAGGCTGCGGCTGTTCATGTAGATCCTGCTACGAGCTTGCAACGCTGGCGGAGGAATTTGATGCTAAGAAGCCTATTCGTGAATGCCTGAGTGACCTTGTCTCGATGCGGGCTGAAGTTGCGAAGAAAGCTGCCGATGGCAAGGCTCGAGACGATATCCGTGGCCAGCGAATTATCCCTGATTACTCCGATGTGCACAAGCCAGCAGCCAGCGAGGGGGTCGTTCTTCGAGCTCAGAGGTTTGGCCTTCGTATGTAGTACCTCATTCGCTCATCCGAATATCCTCGTGGTCTAACGCGCCCACTTCCGTCTGTGTTTAACCGACAGGACTGCAAGCGACATCAAGCAGCGAGTGGTCGCCTTTGTAGCGCGCGTATGAGTTGTTTACACTTACTTGAGTCGGCACAGGTTGCGAGTACTGTAAATAGATGCGATGACTGCACTGGCGAGGAGGTGATCAGTGTTCATGCAAGGCATACCTCGGGTTGGTTGCGGACAGGGAACGCAGTTGCAACGCACGAAGAGCAGGGATGTTGTCCAGCGTACAGCGTTTCTTCGCCCGGCGGGCATGGAATGCAGTGATTGCGCTGGTAGTTGGACGTCCACCCCAGCGGACACAAATCACAGGTGGAAGATCTGGAGGGCAGCAAGCAACAAACGCAAACGCAAGGTTAGTTAGCACGGTATCGTGACTAATTGTCTCCAGCATCTAGCAGCCTCCGTACCCTTCCGAGCGAGATATTGTTCCTGGCGGGCAGCTCTGACACTGACTAGCAAGCGGGCGAGAAAACATACCGGCTGGGCAAATTGACTTCTTGCCGTTCCGGCATGCGTAGCCACTCGGACAAACACCGCAGGTAAAAGACGGCGTTGAATACGTTCCTGGGTCGCAGAGTCTTGCCAGCCCGTCGGTGCAGATCCATCCGTCTCGACAAGTCTCGCATGAGGCTGCTTTCCCGAAGGAGAAAGTGCCGTCAGGACACTGCCGTCTGATCCCTGCTGCGCAGTACGAACCCGCGGCACAGCGAACGCACGTTCCGTCGCCGCCTTCATCGGAGAGAGTATCGTGGTAAAATCCTCGAGGACACATGCACGCAAAGTTGGGATCGGGGAGCAGACCGAGCGCTGCCCACTCGACAGATACGCTCGAGGAGGTCGTGTTGCATGCTAACGTTGCTGTCAGACTGCTCAGCTCCCAAGGAATAATGGTCTGCAAGTACCCATAATTCCACTCGCCTGGAACAACTTGAGACGCAAAAGGAACTACGCTGGACGACGTCAGGCTCTTGTTGGCACCGACCATGGTCAACTGGATGTTGCAGACTGCCGTGCTGCTGTGGGAAGCTGACCTCCAGTATCCTCGCGAGGCCAGGGATAGCCCCGCCGCGAAGAATGAACCAGGGAAGGTTCTGGATAAGCTGACACTCGTCGCTGCCGAATCGGACACCGACAAGACTGTGTTCGTTAACTTTCGTAGCAGTGACGGGGTTTGACGCAGCGTCATGGCCAGCGTTGGCGATGCAGTAGGGGGCTTCCAGAGTCGTGCGACGTCGCTCAAGGTAGAGAGATGCCACGCATCAGCCCAACCACTTAAAGGGAGCGAGTCGACTGCGAGTGTCTGCGTCGGCGGGAAGCACGCGCGTCCAGGTTCGCTAATCTGGATCGATACCAAGGACCCGCCGGGCACAGAGAGCGTGACAGTCAGGGAGGGCACTGCTTTCACTTGTGCTGGAGTTGGGAAGGACCCGAGAGCGACGAGGATCACTGGGAGTGAGCTAGAACCACCGGAGAAACCAGTCACTTGGACAGAGGAGACGAGTCCTGCCGGGTCTGAGAGAATGTTCAAGTTCGCAGGCAGAACGCTGTCCTTCTGCTCGAAAGCCTGGCGGAGTACGGACGGGATTGCCGGCTTGGCGCCGTACGCCACGCTCTTCACCACGTCACTTCCAGTAGCGAGTGTTACTTGCGTCGGAGAGAGGATAAACGCGAAGACGCTTTGTGAACGCAGCTGGGTGATCAAGGCTGCCGGTAGAGTGACGGAGCCTCCTGCTATCATGGCATCTCCTGCAACAACGAGCAAATGCCGGCGATCTGCTGCTGGCCACGCCGTCGTACTGAATGTCAATCCATTTGCTATCCAATTCCAATCGACAGTTTTATTAGACCCCGCGAGCGCCTGGACGCCGTCGAAGAAGGCTACGAGGTCAGGATAAAACACTGCGGCTGGTTTGCTAGTGCCGTTCAGCAGTCCCAGTCGAACGCCGTCAGGAACCGATCGATAGACGGTCTGGAGCTGAGCGATGATGGCAGGGAGCAGATTCACGAACGAAGACGCCCATGAAGCAGAAAAGTCGATGGCAAGCAGCAGATTCAGGGGCTGGTCGCGCAAGAGCACTCCGAAGTTCGCAGCTCCCGTCGTTGTCTGAGGGGTGAGCGTGAGTTGCGTGGTCACGAGTCGATCTAAAGTTACGGCGGCAAGAGCGGTACCATTCGGCTGCCTCGTATACGTCGAAGTCACAACTTTCCCAGTCCCTCCACCGGAGACGCCGTTCATGTCATCAACGTACACGGTCAGCTTGTTGTCCGAATCGGATGACACAGCACTGATGCTCGCCCCTGGGAGGTCCTGAAGCACCAAGGAGAAGAACCGACAGCCAGTCCTCGGTGAAAGCTGCGCGATCGGGATCTGGACAGTTTTGAGGGAGTCTCCTGGCGCGAAGTCGAGTGAAGCAGGCAGGGAAGAAGGGCTGGCGGAGAAATTGGTCGAGCCCCATGCGATCGTTGCCTGCAGCCGAGAGTTGAGATACCCCGACCGAGCGACCTGAACAACGATATCGCTCGCTGAGGTTTGTGTGGACGCATTGATGAGCTGAAGTGACGCATTGGAGAAGAACAACACTGCTGGTCCTACAGGTGAAGCAGCAGCGTCCACAGGCACACTGCAGTCGCCCCCGACCCAGCTCGAGTTGCAAGCACAGCCTCCGTAGACACAGTTCCCGTTCCCCGAGCACAGAATACCATTTCGGCCGGTGACGCACCCTGGGAGTGAGGCTTGAGAGGCGCCACAGGAGACGCAATTCCGCCACGCTTCCATCGAGTACGTGTTGTCTGCACAGACGGAGCAGCCCGTGGCTCCGAGCCCGCTGCTGTAGCTCATTGATGGGCACGACGCACAACCGAGTGACGTATCCGAAGCTCCTGACGTCCCTCCACCTGAGTAATAGCTCCCGGCAACACAAGAAGAGCAGAATCCGCTGGGCTCGGGGTAAGTGCCCGCGCCACAAGTTTGGCAGACTCCCCCGTTGAGGAATGACCCATCAGAACAAAGCTGGCAGTCACTGGAATTCGTCGATCCCGTTGCGCTCGTGGCCCCTGTGGGGCAGCTTTGACAGGTAGAAGACCCGACGTCTGGAGCATACGACCCCTTTGGACAGGCAATACACGCTCCGTTGGTGTCAGTCGACGCGTAGTAGCCCTTACTGCACGACTGGCACGTGACACCAGTCCAACTCGAGCCTGACGGACAGAAGTTGCACTCGCTCTGGCCAGCGGACGTTGTGAACGCGTACGAAGGACACGTCTGGCAGGCTGCAGCGGCGGCGCCAATGGACGAGCTGTAGGTGTTCACTGGGCAAGCGGAGCAAGTCACGTCGCCCTGGTTGCTGAAGAAACCCCTTGGACAAGAGAAGCACGCGGTCGAGCCCGAGTTTGGGGTGTACGTCCCAGCGGCGCAATCGGTGCAGACGCCAGCGCCAGCGGAGCTCCATTTGCCTTGAGGGCAGACCGTGCACGTCGAAGCGTTTGCGTTGGAGAATGTGCCAGCCGCACAGCTTGAGCACGACACCGAGCCAGAGGACGAAGCGAAAGTGCCTGCTGCGCACGCATTGCACGCAGCACTCGAGACGGCGCCTACAGTCTGCGAGAATGTGCCTGAAGGACACGAAGTGCAGGGTGCCCTGCTGTCCTTGCCCACATCGGTGCTGTACGTTCCGGCGGGGCATTTCGTGCACTCGGCCGATCCCGCAGATGAAAACGTTCCCTGAGGACACTGCAGACACTTGCGCGAGCCGCTCTCGAGGTACGATCCGGCTGGACACGCGATGCAGACGTACTTGGACGTAGCGGAGCAGAAGGTGATCTTGAGCCCGGCCGCACAGAACGGAGCGCCGTAGTACGCCGCCTGCATCCGCTTCTGGACGACTGCGTAGCGATCTCGACCGCCGAAGAGGAACAACCGCGTGGCGGTCGAGAAGAACGTGAGCGTGTGGCCTCGACGCGGAGGCGCGTAGTCTTCCGAGAAGGAGAGACGAATCCACTGCGTGGCGTTCACATTGAGCTCCCACGTGTCGCTGAGGAAGTCGCTTGGAAACGTGTAGGAACCCCCGGCGAGGGCGAGTTTGCCTTCGTCCACGAACGTCATGCTCGCTCCGTATCGTGCGCCTGGGGTAGTTCCGATATTAGCCAGCAGCTCCCACGTGTAGTTCATCCTCTCCACTGGGACGGACGCAGGGAGCACCGACGGAGGACACAGGCGCCAAAGTTCGTTGAAGATGGTGCCTTCCAGCGTGCTTTTGCCTCCGTGGACTATCAGACACGCGAGTTTCGAGGCCGTGAAGAGCTTGGATGGGGTCATCGCGACATGGTACGCTCGTGCAGTCGGCACCTTGCCGGGGTCCGTCAATGGTCCAGCTTTCAGCATCCGCCACGCGAGTTTCGGTCCCCGGTTGGTGCACGCGGGCGTCGACGACGACGAGGACGCCTTGGTGATCAACGCCAAGTGCAGCCCACTGAGCTCTACGTAGTCCTCGGACAGGCCACCAAGCACCAGCGCGCCGATTGTCGTGCTGTTCTCGAAGACTTTGGTGAAGGAGTGGCCGATGCGCGGGACGGGGGTGGCGGCCACGGTGGCAGCGTCCGTGGCGGTGACGAGTTCGTCCCAGACGATGTTGGTCGAGCTGGCGTCCACGCAGCCTCGCCACGTATCGTTGACGAACTCCCGACTGCGTCCGCCGAAGACGAAGACGGCCCCGTCCTGGTTGACGAAGGACGCGTGCTCCGCTCGACTGGCGGGCGGCACGAACACAGACTCAACTGTTGTTGTCCCCGTGGACTGGTACGCTGCGGAGACTGCGGACAGGATCTGGTCTTGGGGCAGGAGGAACGCGTTGGTGGCGACGTTGTAGACCAGCACGGGGCTGCTCACCACGGGCTGCGCCGACTCGTACTCGATGCCGCCGAGAATGAGCAGGCGGTCGGACAGAGAGGAGCTGGCGGCTGGAAGCGCCTCGCTCGAGTGCGAGATGCGCGTGTAGTTGACGGCTCCGTCGAAGAGGTTCCAGGTAAGAGTCATGGACGCGTTCTGGGCCTCGTCCGCGACCGAGCAGTTGGCCTCCGACACCACGAGCGACTGCGCTGCCGCTGGCATCAATGGCATCAGCTCGACAAGCGCCAAAAGCTGCAGCAGCCTCATGATCACTGCACTGACCGCCACGCTGCGCGAAGCATCGGCTAAGAAGATCGCAGTCTGCTTTAAGCGCAAAGCGAGCGACCGTTGGCCAGACTAGACACGCGCTGCATTTGACTCCCAGGCGACGCCTAGTGTGTTGATGTCGGACGATGGAGGCAGGCCAGAAGACCAAGGTGAAGAGAATGATGTAGTAGTAGAGTCGGCTAGTAGCGAGGCTGCGTTGCGAGCGCGGGTCCAGCAGCTGGAGGAGACCGTCGTGGAGCTGGACGACACGGCGCAAGCGTTCAAGCTGCTAGCGGAGAAGCAGGCGGCCGAGATCAACGCCAAGGAGATTCTGCTGGCGCGTAAGGCCGAGTACGTGGACGAGCTGCTGGAGCAGATCAAGGCGCTGACCAGCAAGCTCGAAGCCAAGGCAGCGGAGACTCAAGCTCTCGAGTTGAAGGTGCAGAAGGCGAACGCCCAGGCGGAGGAGCTTCGGGAGCAGGTGAAGAAGGACGAAGATGACTTTACCATGGTTTGTGCGGCGCTGGACGCCAGGGAGCAGACGCTGGTGAAGAAGAACCAGGAGCTCGCGACTGCGACCGACACGGAGAAGCAGTTGCGCAGGGAGTTAGAGCGACAGCAGGGCGCTGTTCGCCGACTGGAGAAGAGCGTGGAGGACCTGCAGCCGGAGAAGGCGGACGCGTGCCTGTCACCGCGCAGTTTCCACGAGAACCAGCTCATTCGACTGCGCGACGACGCGATCGAGGCCAAGGCGCGCGAAGTGTGGCTGCTCTCGGGCCAAAACGACCAGCTCCGAGTGCAGTTGGACGAGCTAGAAGCGGCGCTCGAGCAGCTGCAGAGGAACGTCATCTCCAAGGAAAACGACCTGGTGCGACGCCAGCGGAAGATCGATCGGCTGGAAGCGGAGATTGATGCTCTTCAGGTGAGTCGCAGTCAAGCGGAGGGCCGGGAGAAGGCGATGGAGATCGCTACGACGCAGAACGAGAAGCTCTTGCAGGCGCTCGAGGCACAGGAGCGGGATACAGAGGAGCTGAAGGCAAGACTGGAAGACAGCGAGCGGGAGTGCGAACAGCTTCGCAGTTCACATCGTGAGCACATCGCGCGCTCGGCTGAGAGTGAAGTGGAGGTGCTTCATCGAACGAGACAAGCGGAGGAGAAGGCATCGGCTGTGACTGCACTGCAGGAGAAGCTCCGTCGGGAGCGGAAGGCTCTGCAGGAGGAGCTGTCGTCCGCTCAGCTCAACTATCAGATGGAGATCGAGAAGGTGCAGAGCGAGCTCGTCATGCGCCGCAACAAACAGTACGACCTCACTCTGAAGCTGCAGGACGTCGAGGCGCGGCTGCATGAGGCGGTCGACCGTCAGGAGAGTGCGGAAGAGCAGCTGCTGGCTGCCCAATGCCGGATGCAGGAGCTTGAGCGAGTGCTGCAAGACTCGCTCGAGTGGAAGAAGCAGCTCGAAGCGGACCTAGCAGCACAGAAGCAGAGCGCGGCTGCGTCCGATGACAAGCAAAGTAAGCTGCTGGCCGACGCGAAGCGTGAGATTGCGGTGCTGCTGAAGCAGCTTCAGGAGGTGAAGGAGGGGCTCACGAAGAAGCTCGCCCAAGAAAAGCAACAAGAGCTGCGGCATCGAGAGACGAAGCAGCTTTTGAGTGCACAAGAGGCGCTGACGCTAGAGCAGAAGGAGCGAATCCATCGATTGGTGCGAGACGTGAACCGCGAGTCCCAGGCCCGAGCAGCGGTGGAGATCGAGAAGACCTTGTTGAAAGACCAGCTCGAGCTTCTTCGGCAGCAATCTGAAAGCGTGATTCGGGACTGCATGGAGCAGAAACAGCAAGTGATCGACAAAAGGCAGCGGCTTGCGGAGAAGTTTACGGAGCTAACGACCGAGTTCCACGCAGTGCAGAGAGCCAAATCCAAGCTCGTGTGCAAGTTTGCCGACGCATTTACGAGATCCACTCTGTCCATTGGGGTTGGTGTTGCTTGGCCTGCTTCCGATTGCTTGGAGATGCGCGAGTGCTGGCTGGTTGATGAAGATCTGCGGCCCGTTTTGAAGATGCTGGACAGTGAAGGCGCATCCAAACTAGAGCGCGTTGATTTGCGTTGCAACCACCTCACGAGCGAGGCCATGGGGAGGGTGCTCGTGTTCCTGAAGAGGCTGGTGGTAAGTCTTATCGGCGCTGACACCTCTTCCAACAGTAGAATCCGAGAAATCGATCTCCGCCAGAACTGCATTTCGCTCGATGGCATTCGTGTCGTGGCCAAGGGGCTCGAGACCCTCGTCTCCAGTCAAAGTAACAATACTGCGAGTGGGGCTGGTTGCTTAAAAAGTGTCGCTGTGACCGACGACGGGAGGATCGAGGTTTTTGCCGGCAATGGTGGCAGTCGGTCTGGCAGTACCAACTACGGGGTGCAAGACGCCGATTCTCCTGCTCCCGTCTTGGTCATTGATGTCTCGGAGAATGTCGATGCCGACTGGTTAGTAGCAGAGTCGCGGCGTTTTCAAACGCAGCATCGACGGCGTGGTAAGGACGCGGACGAACCGCCAGGCAACAACAACCGAGGCAGCATTGGAGGCGCTGCACAGCTTCTGAGCGATGTTCTCTCTTCGAGTCGCGGCAAGAGTCTCGAAGAAATCTACGGACTGGACCTAGTCACCGCCTTCATGGGGAGCGATAAACCCGGGGCTTTCGGCAGTTCAAAGGCAGGTGCAGCAGGTGTAACCAGACGCAAAAGCACGTCAACCGATAACTCGGTGCGTGTTGTCCCAGCGTCTCCTAGAACTGGCCTGCCGTCCTCAATAACCACCGCAGTCTCATCACCAAAGGGAACAGGAGTAACTTCGCGGAAACGTGTTGAAAGTTCACCAAGACCAGGAGGCCCGGAAGTTAGCAGCTCAACTGACCAGCTACCGGCCGTCGGGAATCCCATTCGAGATGGCAGTTCTTCTGGGCGTTTGTCTGCTTCCGTGTCGCTCCCGAGGCTGTCGGGGTGAGCAATGTGAAGACACCGCTGTATTTATTCGCAAGGTGAAGTGATCATTATTGACGATTAAGGCGTGCCTGGAGTTATTACCGCGAGCTCAAGACAGGTTGAGGAAGCCGTTCCGGATCAAATAGCGCATCGACCAGCCCGTGCGCTTGATCGTTTCGTCCGAATGGCGCCACGTCCAGAAGGCCCAGCCACCGGTGGTGTCCGCGTTGTAGTACGCGAGCTGCTTCCGTCCAAGTTCACGAAAGTTGTCCAAGTTCTGGAAGATGCCGGTCTGGTCGGGAGGGCCTCCCATACACCACTCGCCCAGGAAGAGGCGGTTGTTGGTCTGCGCCGCCTTGAGGTGGCTCTGGTCGTACACGTCGATCTGCGCCAGAATCTGCTCCTCCGTCACGCCGTCGTAGCCCCAGATGAAGTACGCGTGGATCTCGTTCCACACATTCACGTAGTCGGGGGCGCCGATCATCCCGCTCAAGTGGTCCGCGTCTTGTTCACTCAGGAACGGAGTCACGAGCAGAATACACTGGTTACCCGTGGCTCGAATGCGGTTGTACGACTCTATGTAGTAGTTCTGCAGCGCAGTTCGATCCACGGGGGGCTGAGGCTCGTTCATCAAGGCCAGACCGAGGAACCCGGGGCTGTCCTTGTATCGAGCCGCCAGGAAGGTCGAGAACACTAGCGAGTTGTCGATGTTGGTCTGCGACGTACTCCACGCAACAGTGCCGATGGTGACTGGAGAGCTGTGCTCGTAGCCGTTCTGACTGCCCTGATGCGCGTGGAGGCTCACCAAGACCGCCACGTTGTACTTGACGGCCCAGTCGTTGATGAGCGTGTCCAGGTACTTGAGTCCGCCAGGAGCGTACATGTCGCCCTCAGTGCCAGGAGCAGTGGTGGCGTCTCGAACGATCCAGTGGCCGACAGAAACTCGAACAGTGTTGAGCACGCCGGTGGCCGCGATCTCCTTGATGTCGGCCTCAGTGATCCACGTCTTGCGATGCGCTTCAAAGGCGGCGGCGCCTTCCGTCTTGCCGAGGCCTTTCATGACGTTGTACTCGCCACGCCACGCCTGGTCGCTGGCCACGTTCGTCCACAGCGGCGAGTCCCAGGACATCCAGTTCTCGCTCACCAGCCAACCACCCAAGTTGACGGCTCGGGACTTGACGGCACCACTACGGATCTGCGCCTGGATATGAGTCGACGTCGAGTTCACAGCCAGTGGAGAGTTGACTGTCCCCGATACAGCTCCGACCGAAGTGCGTTTTCCCGAGAGACTGCTCTTGAGGTAGCACGCGGGGCCTCTCGGGTCGGCGTTCACGAATGTGTAGCCCACGCAGCCTGCAGTCGACGCGCACTTCTCGCAGCAGTCCCAGGGGTACCCGCCGAACGAGACGCCCATGTCGTTGCCGTAGAAGTCCACGTCCGTGAGTTGGGTCGAGCACTTGGCTGGGGTGTGCTTGCACTGGTAGTAGTCGGCGTTCCAGGGCTGGCAGTAGGTGGCTGTCGGACAGCACGTCGTGCCCTTCGAGTTGCCGCAAAAGCCCCCGTCGGGGGTACTGCACGTGGCCGAAGCCACGACTACCGACACAGCCCCCGCGACGCTCTTCTTGGTGCCGGTGCTGCTCTTGAGGTAGCAGTGGGTCTGGCCGTCCCAGCCAGAGTTGATAAAGGTGAAGGCCGCGCAGCCCGCCGTCGCCGCGCACTTGTTGCAGCATTCTTCTGGCAGCACCATGCCGACAAAGTTGGCGATGTCGGCGCCGTAGTAGTCGACACCGACTTCGGGTGTGCCGCACTTGGGCAGTGTCGGCCGGCACTGGTAGTAGCTTGGGTTCCACGGCTGGCAGTAGTTGCCGGACGAGCAGCAACCAGGGCCGCTCTGCTCGTTGCCGCAGAACGCGCCGGAGGCCGCGCATGCCTCCGTCGCCTCGGTGGATGCCGTCACTCCATAGTATCCAAGTGCAACGGTTGCAAGTGCGAGGAGAAGGTGGCGCGAAGATGAAGAAGAAGGAGCCATCGCTGGGGATGGAGGTAGATTGCGTCTCCGAGACGCAGAATGAAAAGTGACAGACAGCCCTGAAGAGAAAGACCGACTGAATCGAGGCTGCATCGAACCTACACGCACGTTAACTTCCGGTGGGAAACGATTAACTGCTCGGTTGGCCTCCTTCCTGCTGGCCTCGGGGTTCCCTATGCATGAAAGGAGCCACGTTACTGCTTCAATGCGGACAGAAAAAATGTCGGAAATCAGTCGTGCACTTACTTGCCATGGCATGGCAGCGACTCAGTTCGAGAGAGCTTGTGCCATAGAGGCGAGGTCGACCACCTCAAGACATCATGAGCGAAACACATCAAGAGGGAGCCAACGACAAGACTTGACGTGTTGGTTGGTCCTAGTGGCACATGTGCGACCGCTACTACCTTTACGGTGGTCCAGCTCAGATGTAGATGCGTGCAGTAGAGAAGTGCATGTAGTACGCAGCTTCCTCACCCGCCGGGAACTCGCAGACACTGGTAGGCATTGCTGCGTTTATTTTTCTTTCTCTCTTTCTTGCGTGTTCTACCCGGTCTAATCCCCAGGAGCTCCCAGCGAGAGAGCGCGGGGGTCTATGATACACTCACTCACTTCTTCGCCCCAAGCACCTGGTTCTTGTACTCGCTCATGCTGCCGCGGAAGCGCGCCACCTTCTGGTCGCCCACGACCCAGAGCTCCTCGCACACGCTCGTCACGAAGTGCTGGTCGTGGGACACGATGACCACGCCGCCCTTGTACTCGCGCAGCGCGTCGATCAGCGCGTCGATGGTCTCCATGTCCAAGTGGTTCGTGGGCTCATCGAGCACCACGACGTGCGGCAGCCGCCACGTCATGAGCGCGAAGCCGACACGCGACTTCTGGCCACCGGACAGCGTGCGCGTGGGCTTGATCGCCAGCTCGCCCGACAGGTTGAAGCGGCCGAGGTGTGACCGGAACTCGTCGGGCTCGTGGCCCGGGAACAGCTCCTGCATGTTCTGCACGGCGGACTTGGACAGGTCGAGCGAGTCGACGTGGTGCTGCGTGAACGTGGCCACGCGCAGACGCGGGTTCATCGTGACCGAGCCGTCCTTCGGGCGCAGCTTGCCGATCATGATGTTGATGAGCGTCGACTTACCCGAGCCGTTCACACCGAGGATACCAATGCGGCTGGACATGTCCACGCCCAGGTGCACGTCCTTGAACAGCACGGGCGACTCGGGCGTATACCGGAAGCCGACGTCCTCGACGGCGATGATCGGCCGTCCCAGCGGCTCCGGGGGCGGGAAGTGCATGCGGAAGGCGTGTTCGTCCTCGGGCTCGTCGATCAGCTCGTTGCGCAGGATCTTGTCGAGCGCCTTGACACGCGACTGCACCAGCGGCGCCTTCTTGGCGTTGGCGCGGAAGCGCTCGATGAACTCCTGCATGTGCTGGATCTTCATCTGCTGGGCGTCGTAGGCCTTGCGCTGCTGGCGCAGGTTCTCCTTCATCGTGTGCTCGAACGTGTTGTAGTCGCCCTTGTAGTACGTGAGCTTCTGGTTCGTCAGGTACACGATGTCGGTGGTCACGGCGTTTAGGAAGTTGCGGTCGTGGGACACCACGATCATCTGCTTCTCGTACTTCTCCAGGTAGTGCTCGAGCCAGATGACGGCCTCGAGATCCAAGTGGTTCGTGGGCTCATCCAACAGCAGCAGGTCGGGCGCCATGAACAGCGCGCCGGCCAGCGCCGTGCGCATGCGCCAACCACCGGACAGCGCCTTGGCCGGGCCGTCCACGACGTGGTCGGGGAACTGCAGGCCGCTGAGGATCGTGCGCGCGCGCGACTCGGCCGTGTCCGAGTCGATGTTCACAAGTCGGTCGTAGATCTCCTTGAGGCGGACGCTGTGGTCCGCGCCCTGACTGGCCTCCTCGGCCGTGAGCTCCTTCTCCTCCTGCAGCAGCATGGTGCGCTCGTAGTCGGCGGCCAGCACCACCTCGAGCACGCTGCGGTCGTCCTTGCTGAGCTTGGAGGCGGACTCCTGCTCCACCAGCTGGATGCGGATGTGCCGCGGGAAGCCCTCGAGCTCGTAGTGCGAGATGTAGCGCAGCAGCGTGGTCTTGCCGGCGCCGTTCTTGCCCACGAGGCCGTAGCGCCGGCCGGCCACGATCTTGAGCGCCGTGTCGGACAGCAGCGTCTTGCCCTTGAAGTTGATGGTCAGGCGCGGCACGTGGATGTCGCGCTCGCCGTTGTCCTGCGTCAGGTCCGGCAGGAAGCGCGCGTCCTCCCACTCGCGGTCGAGCTCGGCCTGCTCCTCCTCGCGCTCGGCCGTGAGCTGCTCCAGCTTGATCTGCTTGCGCACCTGGCGGGCCGACATGGCCGACTGCTGCGCCTCCAGCTCGTCGTTCGTGGTCTTGCGGATCTTGTCGAAGCCCCACATGCGCGCCATGAGCTGCTCGGCGTCGGCCGCGCCCTCGTCCTTGCGCGCCTGCTCCTCGATGCTCTGCGTGTTCTCCAGCACGCGCACGGCGTCCTGCGCGCCGCCGCCCTCGCCGCGCAGAGCCTGCAGCTCCGGGCTGGCCATGAGCTTGGCCGCCAGCGCCGCGCACTGCTGCGAGGCCGCCGCCTCGTCGTCGCAGAAGCCCGTGCTCAGCAGGAACGGCGCCACGCTCTCCTCCAGCTGCGCCTCCAGCGCCGCCGCGTCCGCCGGCACCTTGTCCGCCAGCTGGTCCGCCACGGCGCCGCTGATGTACTCGAGGATGGTCTCATCCAGCCCGCGCAGCGTCGCGCTCAGCGCCTGCGTCACAGCGCGCTCCATGGCTTGATACGCTCGTTGTGTGTGTGAGCTGAGGGGAGACCCAACCAATTTTCAGCCAATCAAATCAAATAGACCTGGTATCGAACTTAATAATCAAACCGTTGTTAAGTTCGCACTCACAAGCAGCTTCAAGTGCTACGCGCCAGCACTTGCCTCGCTGTACCCCCCCTGGCCCCCTGGGCATCGAACATCAAGGAAATCGTCGTTCCTGGTGTGCTCAACACTGTTCGCGCCGCTGCGGGCCATTGGATTGTCCGAGATGCCACGAGTTCGTTCACCTGGTTTCTAGCGTGGTGGCGAACTGGTCAGGCCTTCCACAAGGTCATTCGGGGTGGCGACATCGAGCTCATTAAAAGGACTCTCACATACTCTTGCACTTTCCTAAAGTCATTTACTTTGAAGTATGCTTGTTTCCTTTGCCTACGTTCACGACAGTTTGAGGTAGCCGTTCCGGATCAGATACCGCATCGACCAGCCCGTGCGCTTGATCGTTTCGTCCGAGTGGCGCCACGACCAAAAGGCCCAGCCGCCTGTCAGGTCCGCGTTGTAGTACGCGAGCTGCTTCCGCCCCAGCTCGCGGAAGTTGTCCAAGTTCTGGAAGATGCCGGTCTGGTCGGGAGGACCCCCCATGCACCACTCGCCCAGGAAGAGGCGGTTGTTGGTTGGCGCTGCCTTCAGATGCGTTTGGTCGAACGAGTCGACCTGTGCGAGTATCTGCTCCTCGGACACGCCAGCGTAGCCCCAGATGAAGTACGCGTGGAGCTCGTCCCACACGTTCACGTACGCCGGCGCGCCGATCATTCCGTACAGGTGATCCGCGTCTTGCTCACTGAGGAACGTTGTCACCATCAAGACGCACATGTTCCCGGTGGTTCGGATCTGCTTGTAGGCTTGAATGTAGTACTTCTGCAGCGCCGTCCGGTCGACGGGAGGCAGAGGTTCGTTCATCAAGGCCAGGCCAAGGAACGCCGGGCTGTTCCTGTAGCGGTCAGCGAGGAACGTGGCGAACTTGAGCGAATTGTCGATGTTGGTCTGCGACGTGCTCCACCCAATCTTCCCCATCGTGACGGGGGAGCTGTGCTCGAAGCCGTTCTGGCTGCCCTGGTGCGCGTGGAGACTGATGATCACCGCCAGGTTGTACTTGACAGCCCACGTGTTGATTAGCATGTCGAGGTACTTGAGACCGCCACGGGCGTACATATCGCTCTCTGTACCGGGCGAGGTGGTGGCGTCGCGGATGATCCAATGGCCGACAGGCACACGGACGGTGTTGAGCATGCCGGTGGCCGCGATCTCCTTGATGTCGGCCTCGGTGATCCACGTCTGCCGGTGCTTCTCAAATGCAGCAGTCCCTGCGGTCTTGCCGAGGAATTTCATGACGTTGTACTCTCCTTGCGAAGCTGTCGCGCTGGGAACACCCGTCCACAAGGGGGAATCCCACGACATCCAGTACTCGCTCGCGAGCCAGCCTCCGAGGTTCACCGCTCTTGGCTTGGCGGCTCCGCTGCGGATCTTGGCTTGGTCGTGGCCCGACGCTGCTGTGCTTGGCGTAACAGCAGCAGAAATTGCGGCCGGATACGCTTTCTTGTTGGCGACGTCGATGCTTTTCTTGAGGTAGCAGTGCGGCTTGCCGTCCCACCCAACGTTGACGAACGTGAAGGCTACGCACCCGGCGGTGGATGAACAAGCGTCGCAGCAAGTCTCCGGGAGGATGACCCCAGACGCTTCACTGAGGTCGCCCCCGAAGTAGTCCGTGCCCACTTCAGGCATGCCGCACTTGGCAGGCTTGGGGATGCACTGGTAGTAGCCCGGGTTCCACGGCTGGCAGAACTGCCCCGACGGACAGCAGTTGGGGCCGACCTGGGCATTGCCGCAGTTCCCACCGGCCACCGCACACGCCTGCGCTGCCTCACTCGAAGCCGCGACACCGTGAGTCAAGCTGGAGGTGGCGATAGCTCCAAGTGCGAGAAGAGAAGACGAAAAGATCTTCCACGCCATGGTCGGTCTTGAAAGGGGCTTGAGCTTGGTGTGGATTGCTTCGACGACTTTGGTGGAACAGTGGAAATGTGGAAGTGAACCCCTGAACGCCAAGAGCTCTAAGCAACGCGAAATCATCTTCCCGCGCCTTCTTTTCGCTTGGCCATCTATCTGTACCAAGACCACGGAACGCTGACAGCATCAAGTGTCTGCCGCCACCATCACAAGCTTATCCGTCTAAAGAACCGAGTTCACTGCCAATCACCTCGGAATTCGTGGTAGAAGGCTGCGACTTGTGCAGACGCGAAACATACCCGCGAGAACCGACAACTGCGACAACATCCGCGGTGACACTTTCAAGCCTTCCGGAACGACGGAGATATTTCATTTACCGTACCGTTGTCCCCATTGCTCTCGCCGCTGAAGCAAGCCGTGCATGCAGAGCTTTAGTACCGTAGTGACCGATACCTTTGGAGGTTATTACGCCGTTTTTTAGTTAGGTGGTTATCAACCACGTGCACGCCTGTCGTCCGAACCGCAGGGAGTAACGGAGGGTAAATGTCTACCCAGTTCCAAAGCTTTGCGCTAAGTATTAACTGAGCGCTGAGTCAGCCAGCAAACAGCAACGCTCGGAGATGTCAGTCTGGCCAACATTTTCCTAGGAGGAGGCGACTGTTGACGCTGCCTTCAGTTGAGCCTGGTCAAATGAGTTGACTTGCACGAGTACTCGCGGCCAGGGCACCGATCATTCTATACAGGTGGCCTGCGTCATGTTTACCAGGAACGACGGCACAGCTCGAATCTCTTTAGCTAAATTGAACTTTAAAAAAGTTGTGTTAACGAACTTATCATGTTACCCTAGTGTGGTTTGTTAGCCTCAACCGCGCGACAGGCAGCCGCAGGGTACATGCACCCAACCTTCCACTCGAGCCCTCCTACCTATTGCGCTAGCACGTTCTCAGGAGAAAGTCGTGCTAGCGCAAGTTGAAGGATGTGACGGGTATCCAATGCGTTTCAACCAAGCTAAACCTCGTCCATTCTCCAATTCTCAGTGTGAACGTCATTTGGGCCTCAGCTCTCCACCCCCAGCAATACCCTTGAAGACCTACCTACCTCTCTCCAGTCTGGCGCTCATCGGTTTTAGCATTGACCTTCAAGTGCACCAAGTGCTTGGCTCAACGGGAATCTGCGGTGACTCAGGAGATTCCTGTGGTAACCAGCAAAGCGGTCCTACGTGCTGCATGCCCGGAAACTACTGCCAGCCATGGAACCCCGACTACTTCCAGTGTCGCCCGGAACTTGCGCAGTGCGGCACCCCCGAAGTTGGAGTCGACTTCTACGGCGACGATCTCTTCGACGTTGTAGGGTTGAGGTTCCCAGATGAATGCTGTGATGAGTGCGCTGCGACTTCGGGCTGCATCGCGTTCACGTTTATCAACTACGACTGGGATGACCAAACTCACTGCTATCAGAAGAGCGCGACGGGCACGAAGAAGGGCGTACCGGGTGCTGTGTCGACCGTTGTTACGAGTGCTTGCCACACCCAAAGCGGTGGCTATTGCGGCAATGACAAGGGAACACTCTGCTGCCCGGACACAACCTATTGCCAGCCCTGGAACTCGCAGTACTATCAGTGCATCGACACACCGGAGCGGTGCCCAACACAACTCACGGATGTGGACTTCTACGGCAACGACATGGGCGTCTCGTTCGGCGGATACCCCTGGGAGTGCTGCGACCAGTTGCGCGTTGACTGCAGGCTGCGTGGGCTACACGTTCGTGAACGCCGACCCGAGAGGCCCCGCGTGCTACCTGAAGAGCAGTCTCTCCGACAAGCGTATCTCAGTCAGTGCTCTGTCGGGCGTTGTTACCAATGTTTCTGCCTCGGCAGGCCACGAGTAGCAAAAGCTTAGCCGTTCCAATCCTCATGCATCCCTAGTGGAGGCGAAGCAAAACTAATCCGGTGAAGTGGTATTAATATACAGTAGTTTGTCTTTTCGCGGATTGGTACGGTAGGCTTATGGGGGCATCTTAGGTGAGTTCGAACCTAAAGCTGAGATCATTGTACCTGATCAGTGTACGCAGAGACCAGGAAAATGTTTCGTCCGAATGCCGCCAGGACCAGAAAGCCCAGCCACCCGTGGCGTCGTCATTGAACATAGCGAGCTGCTTGCGTCCTAGTTCGTGAAAGCATCCAATGTCCTGAAACATACCTTTTTCGTCGGGAGGGCCCGCCATACTCCACTGCCCGACGAAGAGGCGGTTGCCCTTGGGCTCTCGCTGCAGGTTGTCCTTCCTGTGCGTGTCCAGGGGTCCAGAATCCACGCCTCGCTCCTGCCCTCGTACCCGCGGATGAAGTACGCGAGGATCTCGTTCCACACGTTCTCGTACACCGGCGCGCGGATGACGCCGTCGAAGCCGCTGGGGTCCTGCTCCGTGACCAGCGGAGACACGAGTATGACGCAGTCGTTGCCGGTGGCGCGGATCCGCTTGTAGGCGCCGATGTAATAGTCTATCAGCACCTTCCGGTCGGTGGGCGGCGCCGGCTCGTTCATGAGGCCCAAGCCGAGGAACGCCGGGCTGTCCTTGTACCTGTCAGCGATGAAGGAGGCAAACGTGAGCGAGTTGTTGACGTTCGTCTGTGAGTTTCTCCAGTCGGTGGCCCCAACATTCACGGGCGCGCTATGCGCGTAGCCGTTCTGGCTGCCCTGGTGCGCGTGGAGACTCACGATGACAGCGAGGTTGTGCTTCAGGGCCCAGTCGTTGATGAGCACGTCCAGGTACTTGAGTCCACCCGGAGCGAACTCTTCGCTCTCGACGCCAGGTAAGTCGACGGCGTCGCGGACGATCCAGTAGCCTACGGGCACGCGGACCGTGTTGAGCACGCCGGTGTCGGCGATTTCTTTGATGTCGGACTCAGTGATCCACGTCTGTCGGTGGTCTTCGAACGCGGCGGCACCCTTTTCCTTGCCGAGGAACTTCATGACTGCGAACTCGCCTTGCGACGCGACATCCTCCGGTGCATCTTGCCAGAGTGTGTAGGAGTCCCACGACATCCAGTGCTCAGCCACGAGCCACGCGCCGAGATTGACCGCTCTCGCTCGAGCCTCGCCGCGACGGATCTTGGCCTGGACGTGGCTCACGCCCGTCAGATCCACCTTGCCCGACACGGCCTCCACCGACCGACGCTTGCCGTCGATGCTGCTCTTCAAGTAGCACGCGGGCTTGCCCGGGTGGTCGTTCACGAAGGTATACGCCACGCAACCAGCAGTCTGCGTGCACTTCTCGCAGCAGCCCGTCGGGTGGAGACCGTAGACGACGCCCAGGTCGTTGCCATGGAAGTCGACGTCCGTGAGCTGCGTGGAGCAGTATTTGGGGGCCTTGACGCACTGGTAGTAGCCCGAGTTCCACGGCTGGCAGTACGAGCCGTACGGACAGCAGCTGGACCAGTCCTTGTTGCCGCAGTAGCCGCCTACCTGCGTGGAGCACGACGAGGTTCTTGGCGACGTCACGGCCGCCGACACTGCGCCGGGGATGCTCTTCTTGGTGCCGATAGCGCTCTTGAGGTAGCAGTGCGTCCGGCCGTCCCACCCAGCGTTGACGAAGGTGAAGGCCGTGCAGCCGAGGGTGTCGGCGCACACTCTTCCGGCAGCTGAAGACCGGCGATGTCTGCGACGTCGTTGTCCCTGTAGTCGACGCCCACTTCGGGGACGCCGCACTTGGCCGGTTGGGAGACGCACTGGTAGTAGGCGGGGCTCCATGGCTGGCAGTACTCTCCGGCAGGGCAGCAGTTCGGTCCGATGTTCCTGTTGCCGCAGAATTGACCGGGTCCAGCGCAAGCCTCCATGACCTCCAGGAGCTCGCTCGCAGCATTGATGTCCGATGCCAGCGTTAGAGCGAAAAGAGCGAAAAGAGCTCGGGTCAGAGGCATTCAGGGTACGGAAAGACGACTGGGTTTTGAGTCGATGGTCCTTCGCCGACGTTCAAGCCGCGGGAGGTTTGAAAACTGAGTGTCCCGACGGAGTTTTGACGGGATGCAAGCAAGCCTGGTAAATGTATTCAAGCTTGGTTCACAACTGGATGCTGGCTAGGTTTACAACTTACTTGGACGGTATCCCAGTTTTACGATGATTTACGCCCGGGACCCTCCTACCAGGTCCGGCCCTAAAATCATTTAATTGTTGCCGGACTTGAATTCATCAATCTCTTCACTTGCTTCCTGGCTCATATTTCAACTCGTTACTCACGGCTAACTCGGTTGTCATCAAGCTTCATTATATCTGCCAGGCTTGCTTGCATCCCGTCAAAACTCCGTCGGGACACTCAGTTTTCAAACCTCCCGCGGCTTGAACGTCGGCGAAGGACCATCGACTCAAAACCCAGTCGTCTTTCCGTACCCTGAATGCCTCTGACCCGAGCTCTTTTCGCTCTTTTCGCTCTAACGCTGGCATCGGACATCAATGCTGCGAGCGAGCTCCTGGAGGTCATGGAGGCTTGCGCTGGACCCGGTCAATTCTGCGGCAACAGGAACATCGGACCGAACTGCTGCCCTGCCGGAGAGTACTGCCAGCCATGGAGCCCCGCCTACTACCAGTGCGTCTCCCAACCGGCCAAGTGCGGCGTCCCCGAAGTGGGCGTCGACTACAGGGACAACGACGTCGCAGACATCGCCGGTCTTCAGCTGCCGGAAGAGTGTGCGCCGACACCCTCGGCTGCACGGCCTTCACCTTCGTCAACGCTGGGTGGGACGGCCGGACGCACTGCTACCTCAAGAGCGCTATCGGCACCAAGAAGAGCATCCCCGGCGCAGTGTCGGCGGCCGTGACGTCGCCAAGAACCTCGTCGTGCTCCACGCAGGTAGGCGGCTACTGCGGCAACAAGGACTGGTCCAGCTGCTGTCCGTACGGCTCGTACTGCCAGCCGTGGAACTCGGGCTACTACCAGTGCGTCAAGGCCCCCAAATACTGCTCCACGCAGCTCACGGACGTCGACTTCCATGGCAACGACCTGGGCGTCGTCTACGGTCTCCACCCGACGGGCTGCTGCGAGAAGTGCACGCAGACTGCTGGTTGCGTGGCGTATACCTTCGTGAACGACCACCCGGGCAAGCCCGCGTGCTACTTGAAGAGCAGCATCGACGGCAAGCGTCGGTCGGTGGAGGCCGTGTCGGGCAAGGTGGATCTGACGGGCGTGAGCCACGTCCAGGCCAAGATCCGTCGCGGCGAGGCTCGAGCGAGAGCGGTCAATCTCGGCGCGTGGCTCGTGGCTGAGCACTGGATGTCGTGGGACTCCTACACACTCTGGCAAGATGCACCGGAGGATGTCGCGTCGCAAGGCGAGTTCGCAGTCATGAAGTTCCTCGGCAAGGAAAAGGGTGCCGCCGCGTTCGAAGACCACCGACAGACGTGGATCACTGAGTCCGACATCAAAGAAATCGCCGACACCGGCGTGCTCAACACGGTCCGCGTGCCCGTAGGCTACTGGATCGTCCGCGACGCCGTCGACTTACCTGGCGTCGAGAGCGAAGAGTTCGCTCCGGGTGGACTCAAGTACCTGGACGTGCTCATCAACGACTGGGCCCTGAAGCACAACCTCGCTGTCATCGTGAGTCTCCACGCGCACCAGGGCAGCCAGAACGGCTACGCGCATAGCGCGCCCGTGAATGTTGGGGCCACCGACTGGAGAAACTCACAGACGAACGTCAACAACTCGCTCACGTTTGCCTCCTTCATCGCTGACAGGTACAAGGACAGCCCGGCGTTCCTCGGCTTGGGCCTCATGAACGAGCCGGCGCCGCCCACCGACCGGAAGGTGCTGATAGACTATTACATCGGCGCCTACAAGCGGATCCGCGCCACCGGCAACGACTGCGTCATACTCGTGTCTCCGCTGGTCACGGAGCAGGACCCCAGCGGCTTCGACGGCGTCATCCGCGCGCCGGTGTACGAGAACGTGTGGAACGAGATCCTCGCGTACTTCATCCGCGGGTACGAGGGCAGGAGCGAGGCGTGGATTCTGGACCCCTGGACACGCACAGGAAGGACAACCTGCAGCGAGAGCCCAAGGGCAACCGCCTCTTCGTCGGGCAGTGGAGTATGGCGGGCCCTCCCGACGAAAAAGGTATGTTTCAGGACATTGGATGCTTTCACGAACTAGGACGCAAGCAGCTCGCTATGTTCAATGACGACGCCACGGGTGGCTGGGCTTTCTGGTCCTGGCGGCATTCGGACGAAACATTTTCCTGGTCTCTGCGTACACTGATCAGGTACAATGATCTCAGCTTTAACCTAAGATTATTTTTCTTATATGGGGATTCGAGGGGTAGGGGTAAAATACCTACGTGATTATCGGTATACCGATGTCTTCCCTATTTAAAATGCGTTTTCTATGCGTAAAAAAATTACCCCCACACCCTCCCTTCGTTGGAAGGCTTGTCACCGGTTGAAACCGAAACCGGTACGAAACAATCGCTTCAAAAGCGAATCTTGGCACTGATCAGCAGCGCCATGGCCAGTCTCCGCCGGCTCCTGCAGCGCGACGCGTCCCCGGCCGCGCCCTGGCCGACGCCCGACGAGAGCTACGCGTCTCCGGCGTCGCACGCGCACCGCGAGCGCGCGGAAACGGCCCCCACGTCGCAGCTGGAGGCCGGCGGCGCGGCCATTCCGGTGCCCAACACGCAGCCGGCACGGGTCTCGAGCTTCCCGCGCCACTTCTTCGACCGTGCGGGTGGTCGCTCGTCGTCCTCTTCGTCCTCGTCCTCGTCGGATGGCGACGACCTGGAGGGTGCAGGTGCGCAGACTTGCACTGCGTTGTAGGACGCAACTTTGAGGGAAGTTTGTAGGTTAACTTTAAGATGCGGCTTAAACTTGTGCGTAACTTCACAGGAGCGATGACGTCAACAAGCTACTTCCGACCGAGAACCATGGACGGATATACCAGATACCTCGAGTAATGGCGCAACTGGAGTGGAAGACAGAGTTGCTGTCACGGTTAGAGAGTGCTAACCTATTTTTCTACATGTTACTTGCCAGAGCGGCGTTCATGGAGGGGTACCTGGAGAAGCAGAGCTCGGAGGACGCGAAGCTCTGGAAGAGGCGGTGGTTCGTCATGCAGGACAGCAAACTCTTCTACTACAAGTCGCAGAGCGACGTCCGCGAGCAGAAACCCACGGACGAAACGTGCTGCGGCGTCATCTCCATGGAAAACATCGACTCGGTGACCACAGCGGTACGATCCAGCGGCCTTGCAATGGCCATTGCAGAGGAGGCGGAGGAGGAAGAGGAGAACGCAGGCGTCACTACTGCTGTCTCTCGCACTGAGACGCCCCTCGACCACCTCTGCCTCACCCCTGTGCGTCCTCTCGTTGCTAACTTGCACCTACGTCCGCTCTCCCATGCGTCCGTCGTGCTCTTGCAGAAGGACTTTGGCGTCGCTGCCTTCCAGATCCGCATGGAAAGTCGGCGGTATGTCCTGCGAGCCGAGTCCAAAGATATGGTAAGGATATGTGAACGAGTTGTGGCAATTCTTTTATGGTGGGCTAACTTTTATTTAATGCGTTTTAGATGCACGAGTGGCTCTTTAACTTTCAGAAATCCATTGCAAACATCGTGTCTGCGCTCTCACGGACCCAGGTGCGCACCTTGATGGCATCCAGTTGACAAATGTCACCACGGCTAAGGGTCACGATGGTTTGTGGTCACGTTCTTTCAGGCGGAGCATCGACCGAACCGGCTTTGCAATAGTTTATCTCGAAGAGTACGTTGTTGAACGGGACGCCTCACTGCGTTGAAACCAATGCACCATGTACTCACCTACAAGCGAATATGTCTGTGTTTGCGCTGGGGTGCTTCTGCAGCAGAGTATGTCTCGCGTCAACCGCAGCGTATCGTTCGACTATCAGGATTACATGGACCAATTCCCGGTGGCCGCCTCTGTTGATGATTTATACCGCGGACGTGCAAGCGGGGGCTTTTTCGCGTCAACGAGCTTTTCAGACGAATCGACAGGAGGAGAAGGTTCTTCATCATCGCGGACGAGTCCTCGGCGGGCCAGTAGCCCGCTCGCTTTTGGAAGTTTTGGACCGCGAAGCCCGCTAATGTTTGCGTTCGACCCGATGGACGATGTGCCGGAGCACCACACTCCACCAGTACGGCGAAGCTCAATTGCAGAGTCGAAAGAAGAGAGCATCGATCGCGATGGACATCTGCATTTAGGTGGGCGATGGGAGGACGGAGCTGCCGAAAGTAAGAGCGCTGAAGGAACCGCTGAGACCCCGCCGATGATGCCGACATCATCGCCCCCGGTCGCAACGGGCAAGTATATTCCTCGGTATCTTCGCAACCGAAGCGCTGCCGAGCCGACGTCACCGCCACCTCTTCCAGTTGACTTGTCTCCACCGCCAGAGCCCGCACCTGCTCCCACTGCTGGTCGCTGGGTACCCCGGCACCAGAGAGAAGGTTTCGCGGAGATGCAGCCCATTGAGTCGTTCTCGATTAACAGCCGCGATTCATTCCATGAGACTTTTAACGAAGACAGCTCGAGCTACTCCACGGGTGACGACGTTCATGGAGTGACGTCTTTACTAGGCGTTCGGTCGGCCATGGAAGATGTCTGCTGCTGTATTCCAGACCTCAACGCACATTTGAAGGATGACGAGCCCCATCATCAGAAGCAGTCGTTTTACGCTTTGTTTGATGGCCACAGCGGCGTCCGGGTAAGTTGCTGCTAGTCTTCGTGCTTGTTAGACTCGCCCGTCTGAAAGCGTCCGTCAACCTACGTGTATTACAGGCTGCAACGTTTTCAAACCAGCGCCTGATACCATATCTGACCGCCCATGAAGCCTTCATGACGGACACGCGCCTGGCATTTGAGGAGTGTTTTGCACGCATTGACAAGGAATTCCTTGCGAAGGCTGAAGAAGAGGTATGTTGTTCAGTTTTTCGAGCACTTACATCAAATGTACTGGCGCTAATTTCCCGTTATTTTGCGCTATCATGACAGAGTTTGGACGACGGCACTACTGCTGCTGTGGTGCTGATTCGAGGAAACCGCTTAATTACCGCAAACATTGGAGACAGCAGAGCAGTTGTGAGTATCGGTGGTCAAGCATTGGACATTATCGAAGAGCAAACGCCCGGGCGAGAGGACGAGCGAAGGCGGATCGAAGCCCAGGGAGGCTGGGTGAAGGAGGAGCGCGAACTGCAACTGTCCAAGCTGCACTCGATGGATCTGAGCGACCCGGAGATCCAGCAGCGAGCAGAGCGCGTTGTCAAATGGGTGACGATTTACCGGGTGAACGGTGAGCTGGCTGTTTCTCGCGCTATCGGTGACATTGACTACAAGGGCGAGGCCCTGTCGAAGTATGAGTACTGGGCTTTCCCTGAGGGCCACGACCGCGTGTTTCACGGCGATTTGGTTATCTCAATTCCTGAGTGTCAGGTAAGATGGCGTTCTGGCGGTGTTTGGTTGAGCAGGATACTAACTCTGCTGTTTTGCAACAGGAGATCGAAATCACGCCCGAGTTTGACTTCCTTATCCTTGCGTGCGACGGTTTGTGGGACACAATCAAGAGTAAGGAAGCGGTCAAGTATGTCGCCGACAGGTTAAACGAAGGATACTCTGCCAAGGTACGGACGTCGTCGATCGATGGGGTATGTTGCTAATCGAATCTGACGTTGGTTGCCTTGACTCGTGTCTCACTTACAGCAAGCAAGCCAGTCGCTGGCAAACTTGGCGATTCGGTCGGGCTCGTCCGACAACGTGTCGGTCGTTATTGTATTGCTCAACACGGAGCAGATGTCCAGCTCAATATATGCGTTCTCAAGGCAGTAGTGGCAATACGAGAAACTGACGCGCGAGCGTAAGTGAGAGGATGCTCCATCATCCAGAGGCCAGCGCTCGTGCAAAGCCGTCGAACAAGTAAAGAAGGAAGTGCCCCAAAGTCGTCGAGGGCCGATAAATTGCTCAAGTGTGCATATACACGTTTTCGTGTTTTCACCTCCGTCAGCATTCGAGGTTAGTGGCATCTAGCAAACTTCTCTTGGACGATCGTTGCCCTTACTTCTTCTCAACGGATGCAACAATATCTACACGACGAAACACAAGGGAACCAGTTAGTTAGTCAATCAACCACAGCACATCCAAATCCACAACACCACTCCTCACCTTGGACGATTTTGCTGAAGGCCGGGGCCGCGACCGAGTCCGGGTACTCCTCCAGGAACGAGACGCCCTCTTCGCACGCGCCCGTCATCTTGTTGTCGAGCGGCAGCCGGCCGAGGAACGGCACGTTGAACTTCTTGGCCATAGCCTCACCACCGCCGCTGGCCGCGGGGAACACCTCCATCTGCACCGAGTGCTGCAGCAGCTCGGGCGCCTTCTCTTGCAGCAGCTATAGCACACAGGAACGAAACAACAACAACAACAACAGCGTTAAGCAAGCAGCTCTTCTAAGCAACATGAACAGCACCACCACCACCACCACCACGCTCGCACCTTCATGAAGGCCGCCGTCTGGTCGTCGCCGTCGGCGCCGACGAACTTGACGTCGCTGAGCGGACGCTGCACGCCGCTCATGTTCTCGACGACGCCCAGCACGTTGATGTTGGTCTTGCGGCAGAAGTTGAGCTCCTTGCGCACGTCGCTGAGCGCGACCTCCTGCGGGGTGGTGACCACGACGGCGCCGTCCAGGTCCGCCTCCTTCATGTACTGCACGATGCTGATGTGCTCGTCCGACGTGCCGGGCGGCGTGTCGATGATGAGGTAGTCGAGCTCCCCCCACTGCACGTCCACGAGGAACTGCTTGATGATGCCGCTCTTCTTGGGGCCGCGCCAGATGATGGCGTCGTCCGCGTTGGGCAGCATGAAGCCAATGGACATGACGCCCAGGTTGTCGTCCACGTACACGGGCGACCAGCCGGCCGCGCTTTGGTGCACCTCCTGGCCCAGCAGCCCCAGCATGCGCGGCACGCTCGGGCCCGTGATGTCCACGTCCAGCAGACCCACCTGGAAGCCGCGGCCGGCCAGCGCGAAGGCCAGCTGGCACGCCACCGTGCTCTTGCCCACGCCGCCCTTGCCCGAGAGCACCAGCAGCTTGTGCTTGACGCCCGCCAGGCGCTGCCTGACGTCCGACACGGCCGGGTCCGGCTGCCGCGCCGCGCCCGACGCGCACAGGCTCTGGTTGGGGCAGCCGGCGCAGCCGTCGGCCTTGCCCGCCTGCTCGGACTGCGGGCCCACGCACTGCTCGTTGGCGTTCGCGGGGGTCGTCATGGGTCGAATCGATGAGTGACTTGAGTCGCAATGGTGGCCTTTTTGGCCGGCGGTGATTGGCGGAGACATCGAAGGTTTTGGCCAATGGATGGACGGACGCGGGAATGTTTGTCCGTATACGTTATCAAAATCGTGTGTTTTTTTCGGGTTTTATAACGAAAACGTTAGACTTTCAGTCCAAGAAATCACTAAAGATTTAGTAGCGGCAGCAGTGTTGACTTTGACGAGTAGCTACAGTAAGCACGCTCGCGGATCTGTAGCTGCTCGCATGAAGTTGATTTACTTAAGTACTATGTTATGCAATAGCCTGCAGCCCAGCGGTGGCGCAGATGGTCTTCTTATACCCTGGGGGACCACCCCCCGCACTACGCAACTAGCTCCAAGCCGCAGCGACTGGCTCGTTCGCTGCCCTGCTTGTCGCTGGGCCCTTCTACGCGGACATGCTTCACGGTCACCTCGCGCGGGTTTGCTTCCTCGCAACCACTCGCTGCCGATAGAATAGAGAAGCTCGGGATAGTATTTGCTGATAATGAAGACTTCATCATGCAGCCCCACCAGTGTTGCTAATTCTTTATAAGTTCGATGACCTGAAAGGGTTAATTAAAGTGAGGCGCTAAGCTCACTACACTACAAAACATGAGCATGATATTGGATCAATTAGAGGGTGTCGGCCCCCTAAGCAACTCAACGGAGCAACGCGACTGAGGTGCTCCATTACTAGTAGTACTATACAGTAGTGTGGGGAATCCCCATCGACGTTGCCGCCAAGGTGAGCCGTTTTAGCCTATCAGTTTCTTCTCTGCAAACGAGCTCAGAGTCGTAGGATGCTTGACTAAACCCAAACCTGAAAGGTCTAGAAGTAGCTATAGAAATAGGTGCCACAACCAGCTATCCAGGAATCCTGGACCAGGATACATACCACTGAGGACTACAGTATCTTAGACCTTGGTGGTGCCCAGGCCTCAACGTAACATGTAAAGCACACATTTAATTCATTTTTCCGACATGAAGCTTCGTACGCTTTTTTTCGATAAGCGGTAATGCTAACTAGCAAAGACAAAGCAATCAAATGAAAGCTCCTCGATCATGCACACAACCTTGCCGGAAGCTACGGCAACAGACACAACAGAACCGGACTGAGATTCGTGCAAAAATAGCAGCCGACAGTACCGGTATGATTGATGGCCATGAGCACTCCGGGCCTATTTCTGCTATGAAGTGGTGGTTTGGTAGTTCTCTGAACATTCAATGCATGGTGCTGACTTTACATCTATTTCGCTGTCTGCCAAAGCAGCGCTTTGATGGAGACGTGTGCTCTGTTTTGCCGAGAGCCAATCGCCGAGGTGGTTCTCACGTTGTGAGCAAAGTGCCTGCAAAACGAACAAAAAGTCGACAGAGCCAAAATCGAGTATACAGTATGTCGCATTTCCCTGCGCTTACCGGAAAGAAACTTTACTCACGGCGGGACTTGAACCCGCAATCTCTGCCTTAGGAGGGCAGCGCCGTATCCATTGGGCCACGCGAGCCGCTTAAATTAGACCATCGTTTTTGGTTTACAGCAGCAAATCTATAAACACCAGCTTAAGAACACGTGCGGGAATCACCCCTTCATGCTACAGCAATGTAGCTCTACTAGACCGCCGACCAAAGCCGCGCATGAGTTGAGACTCCCCGGCCGAGCCCTCGATGCCGAGGCCGGACAATCTGCTGACTCAGGACTATCGTCCATCGGAATGCCTCCTTGATTGGTCCAAAATGCGCCCAATTCAGCCAATGGCGTCGAGGCGCTAATTGCGGTTGGTGGTGAAGAAGCTCGTTCATTTCCTCCCGCTAAGGCGCCGCCCGCCGTCCTCTTCCGTGCCTGGCGTCCAGGCCCCCGCAGCAGCAGCTCCAGCTCCAGCAGCACCGTAGCAGGCGTCCCCGCGGTCTCTCCAGCTCCGTCTTTCTGGCCCTGCATTTCCCCCCGCCCCCCTACATATTCCCTGCATCCCCGGGCCGTAAAACCAGCCCCTAAAAAGAGCCCCCTCCCCCTTCCAAGCCAGAAGAAGACGTAGAGACTCGAGACCATGAGCGACACGTGGCAGCCGCAGCCCGCGCTGCTGAACGAGGTGGTGGCCCTACTGCAGGCCTACATGGTGCCCAACAACCAGGTGCAGCGCGAGTCCTACCAGCGCCTGCAGCAGTTCCAGAAGAACCTCGAGTTCAACCTGTACCTCGTGCACCTGCTGTGCTCCGCCCAGTTCGAGCCCAACGTGCGCCAGCTCGCCGGCCTGCTGCTCAAGCGCAACATCAAGGCGCGCGACGCCGGCGCTGTGCTCAACCCGACGGAGACGGAGATCCTCGCCGTCATCCGCGCGCAGACGCTGCGCGTGCTGGCCGACCCGCTCGCGCCCATCCGCAACGCCGCCGGCTCCATCGTGACCACCTTCGTGTCGCAGTACACGTTCCTGGACGAGTGGCCCGAGCTCATGCCGGCGCTGCTCGTGCTGCTGGAGCAGCAGGACGAGAACGCCGTGGCCGGAGCCTTCGGCGCGCTCGTCAAGATCTGCGAGGACTCGGCCGCCAAGCTCGAGAACTCGCCCAGCCGCCCGCTCAACGTGCTCGTGCCCAAGCTGCTGCAGTACTTCCACCACCAGAACGCCAACTTCCGCCGCGACGCGCTCGAGTGCCTCAACAACGTGCTCATCTACATGCCCGTGGGGCTCGTCGTGCGGATGGAGAACTTCCTGGCGGGCATCTCGCTGCTCACGCAGGACCCGTCCAACGACGTGCGCAAGCTCGTGTGCAAGAGCATCGTCATCCTGCTCGAGGTGGGCGTGCAGTACCTCGTGCCGCACCTGGACAGCATCATCCAGTTCATCCTGCGCGCCAACCAGGACGAGGACGAGAACGTGGCCATCGAGGCCTGCGAGTTCTGGGCCTCGTTCTGCGACCTGCGCGAGTTCAACGACATCAAGCACATGCTGCAGCCCTACCTGACGCAGATCGTGCCGCTCCTCTTCCAGCGCATGGTGTACAGCGAGGAGGACCTGGCCAACTTCGAGGCCGAGGAGCAGAACCAGGATGAGAACGTGCCCGACCGGCCGGAGGACATCAAGCCCATCTTCCACCGCAAGGCTGGCGGCGGCCACGAGGGTGGCGGCCTGGACGACGACGACGATGACGACGACGAGGATTACGACGACGACGATGACGACTCGCTGTTGGAGTGGAACCTTCGTCGCTGCTCGGCTGCCAGCCTGGACAACCTGGCCAACGGCTACGGCAACGACATCCTGCCGACGCTGCTGCCCCTGCTGCAGGAGCGTCTCGCGCAGGAGCAGCCGTGGCCTCTCGTGGAGAGCGGCATCCTGGCGCTAGGCGCCATCGCAGACGGCTGCTACAACGGTATCACACCGCACCTACCGCAGCTGTACCCGTTCCTGCTGCTGAAGCTCGAGGACCCTGCCCCACTCATTCGCAGCATCACGTGCTGGACGCTGAGTCGCTATGTCACGTGGGTGGTGGAGCAGGGAAACCATGAGGCGCTGTTCAAGCCGCTGGTGGAGGGCATGCTGAAGCGCATTCTCGACCAGCACAAGAAGGTGCAGGAGGCCGCGTGCTCTGCGTTCTGTACCCTGGAAGAGGAGGCACGCGAGGAGCTGGTGCCGTACCTGAACCCGATTTTGCAGAACCTCATGTTCGCCTTTGGCAAGTACCAGGCGAAGAACCTGCTTATTCTGTACGACGCTATTGGAACGCTCGCGGACTCGATCGGCGAGCACCTGAACCACCCGGAGTTGATTAAGATTCTGATGCCGCCGCTTATTGCGAAGTGGAACGCTCTGGATGACCGCAGCCGCGAGATTCTGCCGCTTTTCGAGTGTTTGGCGCCTGTGGCTCAGGCGCTGGGTAACGGCTTCCAGGAGTTTGCGATGAACGTGTATGTGCGCTGCCAGCGCATCGTGGAGAACGAGCTGCTTGCGGACGCCATGTCTGAGCAGAGCCCGAACGAGTTTGACGAGGGCGACCCGGAGCTCGTCGTTTGCGCTCTGGACCTGATCTCGGGTATGATTGAGGGTCTGCAGAGCAACAGCGAGGCGCTGCTGACCGGATCGAACATCCTGAACCTGTTGATGAGCTGCGTGCGTCACGATGTGATGGATGTCCGCCAGAGTGCCATGGGCGTCGTGGGCGACCTGGCAAAGCACGCGCCGAACATTCTCCGCCCCGGTCTCGGCGACCTGCTGCCGGTGCTTATCGAGAACATTGACCCGGACTTGCCTACTGTGTGCAACAACGCTAGCTGGTCGGTGGGAGAGATCGCGATTCGCATCGGAGCCGAGATGGAGCCTTACGTCGAGAACTGCCTGGGTCGCCTGATCGGCATGATCAACCGCCCGAAGCTGCCGCGCAACCTTGTGGAGAACTGCGCGATCACTATCGGCCGACTCGGTTACGTGTGCCCCAATGTGGTGGCTCCGCACCTGCAGGAGTTTGCCAAGCGGTGGTGCCGCGCGCTCGCCCACGTGCGGGCACCGGAAGAGAAGGAGCACTGCTTCCTGGGCCTGTGCTACATGGTGAAGGCGAACCCGAACGGCATTGTCGCCGACTTCATGTTCATGTGCGGTGCCATCGCTTCGCTGGAGGGCCAGCAGATCCAGCACGCGGAGCTCAAGGACATGCTGTACCAGATCGTGCACGGGTTCAAGACGAGCCTGGGTGACAACTGGGCTGCGTACTTCGCGAGCTTCCCGGAGCCTCTGCGGCAGTTCCTCACCACGCGCTTCAACTTGTAGAGAGAGCGAGTGGTGCAGCAGCTGCTGCTGTCTGTCGTGTCTCCCCGCGGTCCGAAGGAGGAGACCCAACGACGATGTGATGATGATGAAGTAGACGATGAAGACGACCACAACGGAGGCTACGATGAAGCAGCTGCCGAGCGGTTGTAGAACTAAGAGCGCGGCTGGTGGGGTGACGGCAGTAGGAGTAGCAGTAGGCAGTAGTTAGTAGTTAGTCGTAGGCAAGCAAAGACGAGCGAGTAGGACGGTAGAGAATAGTAGATAACCGATCGACCCCCGTAGCAGCAGGTTGTAGGTAGCAAGCAATAGGCTTTTCAACTTGGGAAGTACGTCACGTGCTAGCCCGATGGCGCGGTGTTACAATACCATTAGAAGAAACTTACCACACGGCGCATGATATTGCCAAGCCGAACACTACGACACCACAGACTGACAGTCCTACTTAACACGCACCTACCTACCACTTGCGGGCGCTCAGGCGGCTGAAGCATCGGTCATTTCGACGTCTTCCTGTCCTGGGCCCTTCTTCTTGGACGCCTTGTGGCCCTCGCTTCCCTTTGAGCGAGGGATTTTCCTAGTGCTACGACGGGGGGTTGGGCCGAGGGGGTCGTCGAACTTGAAATCGTCGGCAAGGAAGTCGTTCCATATCCGCGGAGTCGAGGAGCGCCGCGGATCGTCGCTCTTCCCCGCTGGCTCTGCGTCTACATCCTCCATCTTGGCGTCATCCCCCAAAAACTTTTTGTCTTGCTGGCCGCGAGCTGCCGACTTCTTGTTGCCAGGACTGAAGAAGCCAGGAGACCCCGACGGTAGCAGAGTCGGCGAGAACAAAGGCGACGGCAGGTTGGTTAGTCCTGGGAACGGCATCGGCAGTGCCGGCAACGGCGATTTCTCCTCACTTTCGGCTTCCTTCGCCAACAAGTCGAGGAATGTCGGGCTGAGCATAGTGATCCCGCTCGCAGAACCTCTCCTGCTTCGAGTGCTACTACCTGAAGGGAAGCCCCCCACTGCTCCATCTAAGAGATACACAAAATGACTATGATGAGATGCTAGCAGACACGCAAAATAAGTACAACGTTTGTCCCCCAAAGCTCACCTTTGCCTACACTTCTAGGCGGTACCTCAATAGGTGGCGGTGGAACTGCTCGCTGACGCAGCGTTGAGGTGGAACCATGTCGCCGATTAGCGGCAGGGTCGCTAGGAACGTTGCTGTCGGGGACTGGCACCACCTCTCCAAACTCAATCGAGGCGACTTCCCCCACCATTTCGTCGTAGCGGGTGCGCACGTCCTTCGCCGTCTTACCCGGCAGGGCTGCCGCGATTTTCACCCAGGAGTACGGCTTGTTGCCAGCCCAATCTGCCAGCACTGTTTCAAAGGCTTTGTCTTCTTGGAATGTCCAGGGATTCGACCGCTGCCCGTTCCGTCGCGGAGCAGCGCTTCCTGGCTGGTATTGTGGCGGAAATTGCTGGCTGTAATATTGCGCTGGGGCTTGAACACTCATCGACTGTGCACACTCCAGTGCCGCCGCGCTCAGAGCGCTGCTGCCGCCCGGCGGGACTCCCTGTGGCTGGGGGACGGATCTCTTTCCTCGTGGTTTCTGGAGTTCGACGCCTCTGGGTACCTGGTAGTTCTGTCTGTTGGGGTTGTTCTGATTGCCTGCGCTGGACAAGGAGCGACTTGCAGCCGCCGCCTCGGGGGATGGCGGCAACTGTTGAACCAGTCGCTGGAGATACTGCCGCCCGTGCAAACGCACTTCCTCGATGGTGCGCGTGCCCACGAAGTCCGTGATGAGCTTCCACTCGCCGCCCGTCCGTCCTGAGCCATAGTGCTCGAGTGCTTGCATGAACCTGCCGTGTTCATCTCGCCTCCACTCGGACGGCGATGTACCACGATTGCCGCCGCCCTGCGCTGCGCCGGAATCCGATTCACCAGCTGGAGGTGGGGGCCGTCCAGGGTTCATTGATGCCTGGAAACGGAGAGCTTGGTACTTGCCTGCCTGCGTGAGTGGCAGACTGCCGACGGGTGACTACCAGCGGACTGCGGACTCTTCAACGGGCCGGCAAGATACCGTATCCCGGCTCTGTAGGCGCGACGGACGGTAGAGCCGCTATTCTGAGACTCGCGAAGGGGTATGGTGTGGCTCGCTCTGCTTTGCGACGGGCTGGGAGACAGCCTCGCGATTGCGCTCGACGCAGCGTTCAGAGCGAGCGAGAGCTGTCGACAAATACGTCTTAGACGCGCAGTACACGGCGGCGGCGCCTGGCTTTCTCGGAAGTTGAACTGAAATGCACATGACGCAGGAGATGGCTACATTGTTGGATCGCGTCTTTTCGTGGGCATTCGTGCATTACACACTAGAATGTAGCCATTTGCACTATGCAGATGAAGCTGCTCCGAGCCGCTCGAGCAGCTCCTGGGCCGTGTCCTGCAGCACCAGCACGCAGGGAATCTGCGCCTCTTGCCAAAGTGTGTGCCGCTCCTGCGCTGCAAAACCTTCTCCGCGCCTCTTGTCGGCGCCGGGCACGCAGCTCTGGTCGAAGCCACCGCCGCACACCCCATCCGCGTCGGCGATGATGAGCCCCAGAGCACCGGCACGCTGCGCGAAGTGCAACTTGAACACGAAGGGGACGCCGCCTCGCACCGCCAGAAGCACTCGATCGCGGACGGCGTGAGCGTTGCGCAGTGGCTGCGAGGCATCCGGCGGGTCTGCCAGCACCAATTCGGCCGACACGTCGAAGAGTCGAGGGCTGTAGTGGCTACTCCACGCTTCGAACGAGCGCTCGACCCCCACAGTCCCCTGTTCACTTGCGTTGCTTGACAGCAATTGGACTTGCTCGTTCACGTCGGAGAGCACTACGCGGGGTAGAGTCGCGTCTTGGACCTGGACTCCAGTCGCGCGGAGGATGCGGTGCGGGTCTTGGGCGATCAGCGCGCTCAAGTCGCTTTGAGAGAGGATGTCGACTCCGCTTACGACGGAGTAGCCAGGGTCTCCCACGCCTTTCAATGTCGGGACGGCCAAGTATTGGCTTTTAGCGCCGCTTTCTAGCGATGTGAGGCGGCGCCGCGGTGCGATCACGACGCGGCTGCTGCGGTGACTCCAGTGCCCGGCACCCAGCACGTTCATCGCTGCAACTCGAAACGTGTAAGCCGCACCAGGAAACAAACCACACACCTTGGTAGAAAGCCACAGCGCACCGGAGCTCAACGTTTCTGCAGTGACCTGTCCATGGCTGATGCTCGAGTTCACCGCGATGACTTTTTCGTGCTCACGAACAACTGCTCCGTTGTCTGCCCCTCTGCCATTGTTCAGGTCGTCCTGCTCTCCTATCTCCGGTAGTTTCTCCATTGACACGAGGTATAGCTCGATTTTTTTGCCGCCGTCGTCTTCGGCGTCAAGCCATCGCAGTACCAAGCACGTTTCTTCTACATCTCTCGTCTCAGGAACACCACGGATTGGAGACGGAGGAGCGCACGGGCTAGTGACCACGCGGCGTGAAGCTCCACTCACGGCTCCTTGGGCCTCCCCCACGAGCAGACGCACTGAAAAGGAGTACGCCGTCTCAGCTTGCAGACCCGTGATCACAGCTTCGAGGTCGCGCCCGTCGAAGTCGTCGCCGAAAAGCGTCGACGGCATCCTGCTGCGCGTGAGCTGGTCATGCGTCACATTCACCGAGTTCTCTAGTTCTCCTGCCAGTGCTGGGTCCTCCGTCGCACTGCCATCCCGATTTTCACGCTTCCAGCTTACCTCGTAGCCGTAGCTTGTAAGATCGTGCTTCAGCGGCTGGTACAGCTCCTGCCAACGCAGTGTAGCCGTCGTGCGAGTTGTATTGACGACGATAGGCGGCCACGCGACGGGTAACGTGAGAGACGCGATGTATCGCTCCCACCGCTTGTCATCTTGCCACTGCTTGAGCCGCTCACGACGTGATAGTTGCTCCTCTTCTCCTTCCTGGTCATCACCATTAGCACCTCCACTTTTATGCCTTCGGTTTTTCCTGGCAAGGTACGCAGGGTCGCGAGGCCACTTGACGAACGTATTCCAGCTAGTGTCGCTGCTTGTCGGGCGGCGCGAGAACGTAGAGTCGAAGGCTGGACTCTGGAGCGCGTGCAGTAAACCATAAACCGCCTCGTCCCTATTGTCACTTGTCATGAGCAGCGCATCAACACCAGCAGCTTGCTTGACGTCCTTCACGTTGGCGGCATCGCAATAGCAGAAGCGAAGAACTTTCGCCGTTCGTGGCGACGATGACGGTGGGGTCAATACGCGCATTGTCGAGACGACGCTACCTGGGACGAAGAGCACATTGCGTCCAGGCTCCAACTCAACTGCGCTGTACAGCTCCGGCGCTCGCTGGAAGAAGCCAGCATCTAGCACCGTAGTTTCTGTGCTGAACGCGACGTTCGCGTCGGCACCGAGAGCAACTTCCTGGAGCTGGTCGCGCATTGAAGACGGCGCAGCGACCGGCTGAAACTTGCGGTCAACTAACGACACGCGCACACCACTGACAGAGTCGTCTCCGAGAGGGACCGCCAGCATGTGAAGTCCGTACGGACACGCTACAATGTCCTTCGCGCTCTCGGGCGCATCGAGATCAGACGAAAGCTCTATAATGGCAGGCAAGAAAGCCACCTCGCGCGATGCGTTGGTGCGCTGGACGTAGTCGTGAGTCATGTAAATCGGCACGCGGAAAGAGGTCTCCAGCAGGGCCGCGCACGCCTCATCTTCAACCCGCAGCGGTCGGACACTTCCTCGTTGCGTTTCGTCACCGAAGCAACCGCTTAGAAACTTGTCCATCGCGCTCGGACTAGCAGCAGCCTCCTCTGCATCGCTGCTGCGAGTTTCGTCGAGCCCCAACAGCTGCGCCACGGGGTCCTTCTCGTCGTCTTTTAGCTGCAGCAGCACCGGCCGCGTCTTCTCCGCGTACAGCTCAAAGAACTCCTGGAAGCTCACGTCGTCCGCTGGCCTCTTGTCCACTTGTTGCGGCCTCTCGGGCTCCTCAGTCTGTGTCGCTAGCTCTTGCCAGACGCCTCGGAAGTGCTGGCGCTGGTGCCGCACGTAGCGCAGACGGTTGCAGTAGGCCACATCGTCTGCGCCCAGTGACGGCAAGGCGCCCCCGCCGCTCGAGTCGGCGCCGCTCTCGTACATGAAGGACGTCACGCCCAGCTCTCGGCATTGGACGAAGGCGCTCTGCAGTCGCGCGTCCAGTGGCGCCGCCGCGTCGCCCGCCAGCGGCGTCAGCAGCAAGTCCCTGAGCGGCGCCTCCAGCAGCGGATCGCGCTGGAGCGTTGCAGCGGCCGCGGGCTGGTCGCCGCCATCGTCCGAGCCCTGCGCGGGCCGCGCGACCAGCGCGACCAGCGCAACCAGCAGCAGCAGCAGCACGAGGAGGGGCTGCATTCGAGACGAGCTGGGTGATGCTGAGGTGGGTCTTTGCGACCATCGAAGATACGCGATCGGGTTTGGCGGGGTCGTGTCCCTTCGTTGCGCGTTGTGTGGCAGTAGCCCCGTTTCGCAGACGCTTCACTGTACCAGGATTCTGGTACGCCGAGCAAAGTTTCCCCACAGTCATTTGCATGTATGTACAGCTTGCTCGATGCATTCACATCCTGCGTTCTTTAGTCACCGCGATAATTTTGGCGGGCGTGTCAATTGAGGCCGAGCCACGCCAGGATGAACGGCGGTCGCCGCGAAGTTGTTGTTAGTTTCGTGGCCTGTCCCCGAGCCCCTGCGCGGGCGCGTAATGCTGTAATGCCTCGCTGCTCCGCTTTACGCAGTCCACATCGCGTTTTCGGGGCCAGCTGGGCCCGCAGCCATAGGGCGTTTCGGCTGCACCCCAGCCTTCCAGGAACGCGAGCGCTTATCGCCCGCAACTTCCAAGGTTTACCGTTTCGCGGCTCGTTCTCGCTCTCCGCGGGAGTCTCGCGGCTCGAGGATGAGATCGGCCAAGCTGTGGCGCTGCGCTGCGGGGCTGCGCGCGTGGGCCCAAGATCGGGCCTGGCGGCAGTCTCTGTCACTGCAATGCAGAGAAGCGCCGACCGGCAGCCGGCGTTCCCGCCAGCATCTCGGTTGTGGCAGCGCTTCCGCCGGTCACTCGCCGGGGTGGCTTCAGAGCGCTGCTTCGAGATGCTCGAGCATGCGCTCGCGCCGTCGAATGGACGTCGAGACCGCCGTCTGCCAGTCAGTCGTGCTCTTGTCGGCGAAATGTCTCGGCCAGCGCACCGCAAAGTTCACCCACGCTTAGTATTGCAGCCTCGCCTCTGCGCTTTGCCGCTTCCAGCGCTGGGCCGTGCGCCGGAGATTTGGGACGGAGCGCTGCATGCTGGACGCGGAGAATCTAGCCGCGTGTTCAACCAAATCAGATTCTCCGCGGCCGGGTCGCTAGCGTCGTGAATCGGCACCACCTTCAGAAGAGCCCCCGCTGCTCAATGCACTTGCACTTGCAGCAAAAGCGTTCTTATCGTAGACACCTGCAACCTGCAATAGACAGCTTTCGTCCTGTCATTGGTCAACAAACCCGCTTTTGGATATTCAGAGACAGTGGGACAAGATATCCATACAAAAACCGAGTCACATTTAGGGCACCGACCAGCAGGTCTTCATTTCTTCATTTCTTCATTTCTTCATTTCTTCATTTCTCTATTCGCTCGATCGAGCGCAGGTCGATTCACAGTTAGGAATGGGACTGCGTCTCATGTGCGCGGCCGGTGTGGCGCTGGCGGCGCTGCTGCTACTGCTAACGGCCGCCATCGTGCGCCTCGTGGTGCTGCTTGTGCAGCTCGTGACTCCGCGCTACACGCTGGCGGCCTGCGCGTCGGCGCTGGCCTTGTGGTTCGTGGACTCGAGACGCCAGCGCTACGCCAAGGGCTTCTACTCGTGCTCGCGCGTGCCCCAGGAGCCGCAACCAGCGGAACAGCAACGGGAGACGCCGCAACAGCAGCTACAGGCTCAGCAAGATCAGGGACAGGAAGAAGCAGACGCAGCAGCAGAAGAAGAGGAGACTATCGCGACCGCAGCGGTGGCCCCCGTGACGCCCGAGACACTGCCGATGCAGCTCAAGAAAGTGGCAGCCGCGCCCCCCTCCGAGACCGAATCGGAGGACGATGACAGCGAGGCCGGAGCGCCCCCGAGCATCAAGGCGCGCGCCAGATCCCCCGCCTCCAGACACAGCAAGAGCCTCGCAAACGTCAGGACGCGCAGCAACACGACGGACGGAGAGCTCCAGCGGCGACAGGCCACGCGCCCGCGGTCCTCGTCGGCAGTTGGAGACAGCAGATCCAGTCGGTCGCCAGTCAGGGCTTCGGTCTCGCGTAGTAGTCACGCAGACGTGCTGGAGAGGAAGCGCCGAGTGCCCAGACGGCGCGCTGACACGGGCATGAACGGCACCGCCAAGCACCAGGAGCGGTCGCGCCGCGCGACGTTCGCGTCCAAGCAGGACGCGTACGTCAGGCGGAGCAGCTCGGAGAGGCTGGAGGACGCTCTGCGCTCGGATGGCTACTGGATCGGGGACTTCCGAGTGCAGCGGCGCCTGGTGTCGCGACGCAGCCACACGACTTCCAGCCCCAAGGCGAACTGAGCATTGGAGAGGAGGGAAGAGGGGGAGGAAACTTAAGTTATTGCGCGTTTACTCTACTACAAGAAGATTGTTTTGCTACTCTATCGGTACTAGTAATGAACATGGAGCATGTTATCCTTTGGGCGCAGAGTTCTTCTGGTCACTTTGACGCAGCGTCTGCACGTACTGCCATTGGGTCTGAGGGTCCGTCATGCCTAGGCGCTTTGCTTCCTGATACAGCGACAGAATGGAAGACGGCGCTGCTGCTGCTGTCAGCGGTGGTGGCGGTGGTGTCCTCCTGGAGTCGTTACAGCGAGCCTCGGCCTCCATCGCCTCCATGAAGGCCTGCTGCCGCCGCGCCGGTGCCACTGATTTCTTCGCTGCGGGCATCGGAGGAGGGGCGTGGGATGATGACGATTCCTGCTGACGGCCAGCTTCACGTTGAGCTTGCTGCTCTGCGTTCTCCTTCTCGGACTCGGGCGAAACGCTGGCCGCAGATTCCTCCGTCGAACTGAGCGGCAGAGTGTCGTCGTTACTGGCAACCTTCTCCTCTTCCTCGTCCTTCCCCTCCTCCATCTTCTCCGCTTGCGTTTGCTCCGGGGATGAGAACGCGATGGGCGAGAGCCCGAAGGACAGCCGCAGCTTCGAGCTGTGCTTCGTCGAGTCCCGCGGCGTCTTGACCAGCGGCGACGGGGTCAGCGCATCGAACTGCAACGTGGCCGGCGTGGCGCAAAGCGGCTGTTTGCTGCCGACGATGGCAATGGGCGACGCCGACCACTTTGGGGGCCTTGCGCTGGGCGACTGGGACTTCCAGTCGCTGCCGGGCGTCGCGAAGCCGCTCAGTCGGTTCCTCTTGGCTGGGCGCGGCGGGGTCGATCGAGACGGCGGAGTGGCGCGCGGGTGGCTCGACCGCTTCGGCGTGGGCGGAGGGAGGACCGACTGCAACTTGTCCATCTTGCGCTGCCGCTCCCGCAGCCTCGCTTCGCATCGCGCTATGGTCTCTCTGCAGCGTCGGTGCAGCTCCAGCGGTGGCGACGGCGTTGACGTTGCTCGGGTTCTGCTCGGAGCGGCGGCGGTCGATGGCCGAGCTGCAGGCAGCGGCGTGCGCAGTACCTCGTACTGCTCCTCGTCCTCGAAGAACCCGCTGGCCCCGTGCGAAGTCCCCGAGACGTTGGCCTCTTTCTGCTGCGGCAGCGGCGAGAAAATCGCCGGCTTGAGCTCCGCAAGCGTGTCGATGCTCCAGTCCAGCGCCGTGCCGGCGCCCTGCAGCCCAGTTCCCTCCCCTTCCGCCGCTGTTGCCGCCGACTGATCGTCAGCCAGCGCGGCCTCAAAGGGAGGAAAGGGATTCCTGTCGCTCGTCGGCGCGTCGAACGGGTTGTAGGCCTCGTCTCCTCCAGGCGCCTCCGCCATGCTGCTGCGCTTGGTCGCTGAACGAGTGCTTGGTGAGTGTCGTCGCTTGTGTGCTACCAGCTTAGATGCCGGTCAATGCCAGTGCGCTAGCCTACGTTTCAAAACCGATCTGACGCGCATACGCGATTGGCACGACGCTGCATCGCAGCGAGTCCGAGTCATGCGCATGTAACACAGACCTCCCTTATAACCTGCCGGGATGTGTCGGATTAGCTATATTTCGGCACTCTTGTTTTGTTTATTTCGGCACAGTGCCAGTTTAAGGAAATAAAGTATGCATTTTACTACAATTTCTCTAGCATGTCGAACTGTTTAGCCTGGAAGATGCCTTCAAGGGCTAGAGAAGCCAACGAAGTGCGCGGGTCGTTCAGTTCACACTTCAATACGGAAAAATCGGATTCGACGGACGCCGTATTCGCGAATACGGTCGCCAATCCGCAGCAGAACTGACGGAGATGTGAAAATGTCTTTGGAGCAGCAGCGTTTTGCATTGAATCCCAGGCGTCGTTGAAGCTGGTGTCATACGATTCTTCCTCCAGGGCTGTGCGAACCAGATCATGCAGATTGGCTTGACACAGCTCTCGATGCTCCCGTTCAACGGCTTCAATTCTTGCCTCACTCCAAAACAAAGCCAATTGATCGCGGCGACGATTCAAAATATCTTCTGCAAACTGGCGAGAAGGGACTGTGACAAGCTCAGCTGGCATTACTGGCGGAGCCGGAGATGCGGCAGCGTCATTGTTGTTGTCTCGCTCAGCTTGTTCATGCTCCATACCTTCAATTAGATGCAGTACAAACTTACCAAGCTGCCTCAGAATCGAATTTTTGTCGGCATCTGCAACACTATTCATGTGATTCTTGACGAACGTCCCCTGGTCTTGAATAAACTCGAGTAAGTGTTGCTCTTTGAGTCAGTACTTCATAGTAATCGTGTCATTAGCGCTAGATTGGAATTCAGAGCTAGGTACGCGTTCAACTCGTAGCAGTTTGCGAAGGCGATCTACAAGGAGCTCAATCTCTGCCGTTTGCTGCGAGAGCAGGACATCCTCCCCCTGTATCTTGACAAACGTGACGTTCACCACCACCGTTATCCCACAAACAACCGCTGCATTGACCCACCATGATGGCGTTGGTGCCGCAGACACGTTTTCATCAAGGTGTTCATCGAGGCGAAAATGGTTTTTTAATATTCACTGCAATGCGTTTCCCATGTACAGCCACCGTGGCGGCGAAGGTGAACAATTAATCCCTTTGTCTTCTTCACAAAGTCTCCATTCCCAACAATTGCAAAACCGGCTTTCATGACCAGGTCCATTTGATGAGCAGCACACCACACTCTCAGCACCGAGTGGGTGGCCTCTTTCTCTAAAAGAGTGACCACCCCACCATGACGGCCTGTCATAGTTCTCTCCATCCGATGAAATACCAACCAACTTCTGTCTCCAGTTAGCGAACAAAATATCGAGTACTCGAACAATCAGTTGAACTTGGACCACAGCAGTGTGGCGGTCAAACATAGGGACCGCGAGCAAGTGTAGGTTGACTAGCACGCCGTTGACGGCAACACGAACACGCTGATCCATGAAAGAACGATCGGTGTGGGTTGTGATGTCGCAAGCAAATGCAACCCCCCACATATTGGGGTCTGCTATGAGGTTGCTGATGCGTTGAAACGAATAGGCAACTATAATACGTGCATAAGTGCCTGCCATAGCGTCGGTCATACCGTAAAGCTTCGAGTTCCCTGTGGCGTTGTAGTGCTGCTGAATTACTGCTGCCGTCTACTGAAAAGACAACCCAACCGAGAGATGTTTGACCGAAAGAGTAAACCGCAGAGGCGTCTTAATTTCCACTTGGTAGACGGTCTACCAAGTAGACCCAGGGCTTAATAGCAACAGGTGATACCCATTGATACGATGATACTATATGCATGTATTACTTGTATCAATATCAGGTGATACCACTAGAAGCTTGCGATCAGGATCATTGATCCGCCCACACAAACTGATTGGTATCCGGTAATATTATATCCGATACCATTGTAGCTTGCTCAGAACTGTTAACTTCCGCGATAGCAGTTCTGCACGTGGGTTCCTTCAGCATGAGGTCTACACCTTTTCAACTTCAAAACCGCAAATTCCAAGTTCAATTCTGCAAAAGGTAAGTTCAAAACTGCACGAGCAGAAACCAGGCTAGCTTCGTACTTTTATACACAGCTCATTGGTTGGCACGCAGCACAGGCAAATTGTACTCTATAATCGTATATGATGATAGTTTGTAATATACATTTATAGAGTATTGTTGTTTTGATCTTACCTTTTGCTGTTTTGAACTTACAATTTGCAGTTTTGAAGTTGAAAAGGTGTGCACCAAAATGCCTACTCACTCTCAGGCCTCGTTTTCAGAAGCATGCCTGCTTTACCGGGGCGATCCCAGCCTTAAAACTGCCTGAAATTATCTACAAAAAGTCAATAAGTAGCACAGTTTGCTTGCTGTCATGGTACTATCGCATTATTTCGCGAATAACTGCAGCTGTCCAACTGCGCCCAATGCGATGGAGCTGCACTCTTTCGTTCTCTTTCGTTTTCAGAGCTAGGGCTCAAAAGGGTGGTGTCGCACGAGTAGTACATATTATGTACCAACATAGGTATTTTGACCAATTAAATCGCATTAATTTTAAATTTTACCACAATCACCTTCATTGATAGAGTATTTGTTTTTTGATACGATATTGATATGATATCGATACGACAGTGTACGTGTATCAAGATCAGTTGATCCAGCCCCGCTCATTTTAAACTTTGTATCTGTATCATGCATATCGTAAAAATAGCCGATGATATGAAGCCCTGGGTAGACCCCATTCACTACCGAGCCGAAAGCACGAAGAGCCCTCGCAACAGTCATATCATCATCTTCATCTTCAGCATTGAAAAATACCTTTCCAACCAGCTCAGTCACAATCAACTCTGGAAAGAATACCGCAACACAGCACTCTCTGTGCCAAAATGAGCTACCAATTGGTTGAAAAGTGAGATCAGCAAAAAATACAGCCTTCTCTGCGTCACCGAGATCTGTGTATTCTCCCCACTTAGCTGAGTGCGCGGTAGTATTGTGCTCGATGTAGTTCTGGGGTCGGGAAGGAGCCTTGTAGTATTTGATATTTTGAGTACGCTTTCGTTTGCCCTTGGGTGCTTCCTCTCTACCAAAGTATCGGCAAAACAGGCAGCGGACCGAGCAAGCCGCTCCCCCAGCGTCACACGCTACGACCTCGAGCCCGTACTGCAGCTTGTGAGCGTCTTGGAACGGGGTTTTACGCGAGGGGGGGCTTCTTAGAGACGCTTGGCTTTAGCTTCTCCATCGTTCACTGCTTGAATTCTACGATTTTGAACGGTCGCTCATTTCGGCACTCGAAAAAACTTCAAATAGGCACATTGCCATATATGAACTTCAAGTGCCGGAATAAAGGAGGTCTGATGTAACATGCGGCATGTTTACCGAAAATGGAGAATAATAATACCCCTCCCATTTTTAAGTGGACCCCGTGGACCCCCTCGTATTGCTGCCTTTCCTTAATATTAACTGGGCGTCCCTTCATGAATGTACATGACAGGTCGGAAACCTGTTATTTCGGCGAATTTAACTCTGCAATGAGAGGAGCATCGCCGTTGAGACCGACATGGATAGAAAGCCCTGCATCTAGCTTGGGTAATGCCGCTGTATGAAGCGCTATATCCTCAAAGTTGGCGTTGCCTGGCGCCTCTGCGATCTTCCTTACCGTTATTTATGTAGCATATAAAAAACTATATGTATTTGTGTGACCTTTCAGGTTGGTATGAAAGATCGCGAATTACTAGCGATAAGATGACTGACAAATAGTAAGGGGGGCTACGCTCCATGTCCTCGTTGCCGAACGGGGCAAGAAAAGGAGAAGCCACTTTGGCATTACTCCTTTGATGGACATACTAGTAGATATGCAAAGTTTCAGCATTCCTAGACTCGCCAGGAAAAACCGAATTTATTCTTTTCCCGAGATCCCGTACATTGTTGAAGGGACGTCCAGTTAACAAGGGATCCACGAGTCGAAACCCGGCTAGGTCAGCCAATATCGGCTGGTAGTAAGTTTAGTGAGTTTACAGTCCCGGGCAGGGTCTTTTTGAGTTTTGATCTTAAAATTAATCTCCGAATTTTGAAGTGCTGTTTGGACCAATCGATAGATCTCATTGAGGCGCTTCGCCCAATCGCCTTAGTAGCTCGAAAGCATCAAAAGTAGAGTTATTGGAGTCTCAAAAAGGCGGTGGCGCGGTCGGCTCATACTAAAATGAAGTATAACATTTTCGGACCGTCCAAAAATCAGCCGAAGTCAGGGGGCAGGCTTCACAGGCGACTAGCTCCTCAACAACAACGCATATGATGGTGTTCAGTGCATGTGCAGGTGTAGACATACTCCGAGTAGTATACATACAGGTTGTTATTGCGTGCGGCGCTCGGTCGCGATTGCTACCTACAGGGCTCGCGAGCACCTTCGAGCCACCTCCATTCGTGTATACCCCTTGCATGAAGAGTGACGGGTGTCACTCTCCCGAGTTCACGGTACATGGTACCAGTAGCTCCGCAAGCCAAGCATTAGAGTTGTGTGGGCTTTTGTATAGTTAACTTGTAGTTTGTATTACGACCAAGTTAACCTCTACCAAAATACAGTCAGTCTTATAACCTACTCCTTTGTAGCAAACTGTTCCCTTTGAGGCCGAGAACTGGTGAACTGCTGTTCACCTGGATAGTAATAGCCGTACGCACTTCCTCTGTGCATTGTGCTGTGTGACCCCGTCACACTTGGTAGCACTCGTAGTCAATCCTACGCCTACGCGGGTAGATGGGTCTACCTGAATCCTCGGTGGCTCAGGTCCGTGAGCCACGATGGACCGGAGTGAGTTTCCTCTCTTGACTGACCCGCAGTTCGAGTCAGTGCCGAAGATGGCGGGCATCTTCGGAAGTGATGCCCTCCGGAGCTTGGCGCGGCGACGCCAGCCGAGCCGGTCGAGCGGATGAGCGCGTTTGACGAGTACGAACGCGGGCTCATCGCTCATGTGCAGGGAAACCTGCTGGCTCAGATGAGTGAGCCCAAACGGGTGCAGCCTAAGCCTTTGCGGCTAACTGTGCCTCCATTCGAAGGGGAGGAAGATGAGAACCTTCACTTCTGGATCCGGGAGACCGAGATCGAGCGTAGGTCTCATCTCGGCTGAGAACCTTTGAGTCGCCTTTGCGCTCTCCAATCTTGGTGGACGTGCCAAGACTTGGGCGTACACGCGCGAAGCGATGTCGCCTGGATGTTTTACATCCTGGGCTCAGCTGTGTGAGCAGCTTCGAGCCGCTTTTCGCCCGGCGTACAACGAGTTCCGCCAGCGCTCGAGCTTCCTTGCCTGCAAACAAGGGGAGCGCGAGCTATACGTGTACGTACAGGAGATGCGCACGTTGGCAGCCTCGCTAGTGGGGGACCCACTGTCGGAATACATCAAGATGACAGTGGCCTAAAGGTCGGTCCTGCGCGCACGCAGTTGTTCCGCGTGCGCACCGCCACTATGGAGGAGGAGATCCAAGTCGCCCTCCAGGAGGAGTACAGCCACAAGCAGGCTGGTGCTCTGGCTGTTGTACAGCCTGTGGTCACTGAAAGCGAGCCAGAACCCATGGATCTGAGTTCAGCTGAGCAGTACTCAGTCCGCTGCTACGGCTGCGGCGGACTGGGACACTATCAACGTGCCTGCCCATCGTCAGGGTCTGGGAAGAAGACTACCCGAAGACCAGAGGGTCAAGGGGGAGCCGACGCCATCCACCGTCAGGTGCTCAAGGGAGCCACAACCACCAGTAAGGACGAGGGCCTTGCTGGGGTTGGCCCGAGTCTTTGTGATGGGTGTACGGAAGGCGTACACCACAGAGACCCGGGGTCCCTTGCGAGCACTGACGCTCGCTTTGGTGAAGAACAACGGTGGGTTGTCGGTAGTACACGTGTGTGTACGGGGGTAATGGTACATTGTGTCTGTCAGAGCATTGGTGAGTCATGTTCCCACCTCGGGATAGACACAAGGGCGTTCAATGGGACCACTATGGTGCTGGATGCGTCCGACAAGAAGAAGAAGAAGAAGAAGAAGAAGAAGGGAGGCATCGATGACATGATGATCTCCATGGAGAAGGTGCAGTGTATCTGCAACCGAGGGCTATTATGCCTGGCGTGTGGAGCGGCGTTGGGGCAACAAGTGTCCATGACTCGGTGCCGAGATGGCTGAGTCTGAGTATGCGTGCATGCCATGAAGCTACTCTAAAGGCAGGACAAGTTGTACGGTGTCATGGGTGTCTTTGCCCGCAGACGTGGATAACAGAGTACCACGTCAAGTCACGCAGACTCAAACTTCATATCGGCTGGTAGATACAAAGCCTTGGTCGATGATGTTGACCCGAAGCCCAAGCAGGGTAGCTGCCCGCGCCACCGGAGTCTGTTGGACCGGAATCTGCTGGTATAGCGACTCGGCGCTGCAGGGCGGCGCGAGGTTAGGCGACCGGCTGGCGCCTGGCCCGCCGGGGTTCGAATCGTAAGTGGGGGAGGGGATCGGAAGTGCCCTTCCTCCCGGCGTCTCTGGCAAGGGACTTGCTTCGTCATAGAAGCTGATGTAGTGGCTGCCTGGTGCAACCACTCACGAAGAATTGCACGAAGGTGCTGGACCTGATGCATCGGTGCTTAGGTCCCAAGGTCATGGTGACCGATGGCCAGCAACGTTGGTAGTGGCCACTGCCGCTGCTGGGCCGAAGACGGCGGGCGAATTCGCTGTCAGAAGGCTGCCTCGGTTTGGCGAGGACATGGCAGCTAATCTGCGGCTTGGCCCACAGACGAAGGTGTGCGCGCTTACGCATCGCCATGCCGCAGCTCGATGCTGTTGCTACACGGGGCGCAGTACGTCTACCGACCAGGTAGCCACCAGCACCATGCCATAGCTCAAGGCTGTTGCTACGCTGGGGGTGGCACGTCTTCCGGCCAGGTAGCGATCAGCCTCAAGCCCAGGATGGGGCAAACCCGAGGGGCAGCTCCATGCTGTTGCTACGCTGGTCGCGGCACGTCTGCCGGTCAGGTAGTCAACAGCAAGGTGGTTGGGTGTAGCCCACGAAGGGTGAACCCGAACGTGTTGCCTTTGTGGGCATTCACACTTAGCGCGGTGCATGCTGCGCTTGTACGGTACGCGTGCACGCGGCACAATTGTCTGTGAGGTAGGCGCGGAGCCGTCGGCCCATGACGCTCACTGTGCGCGGGGCACTTGGTGTGTGCGAGGTACTCGCAGTGCACGCGGAACTTGCCGTGATCGTGGTACGCTATGTGCACGAGGCACTAATGGCAGTTGTGGTACACAAGGTGCACGGCGTGCCTTTGGTGTATGGGGTGGTGCCCCTGTACACAATCATGTCCTGGTATGGGCTGGGCGTCATGCTGCCTAGCACGCACACTGACCTGGTGTTGGTCGCCGCGATGCATGATGCAACCGCTGGTGGTAGAGGTCAAGGCGTCTCACACCATGATGAAGTGCGATTGCGGTACCTTGGTGTCGACGGAAGACACCTCAGCGTCGGCTCCACGATGGCCGTGACGCGGGGCAGGACATGGGACAAGTCCGCCGCGTTCCTCGGAATGACGAGCGTGTTGTGAGCAGCAGCCGTGGTCCCCGGGACTATGGCGACGATGAAGCCCAATGCTTCTTGGCTTGGGTCAACGCTTGACCTCTGTGTGGTATAGCAGCACGCGCAAAATCGTCAGTTGTGGTAATATGGCTACAAAAACAACAATAGCCGGGCTGGTCGGCTTTGATGGCCTGCGCCGGGTTGCCCTCGAGCGGTTCGTACCAACTGGGACAGCGGGTGTCTCGCCTCTCGCGAGCTCTGCCAACCAAGATAACTCCTCCGGAGAACCGCCCTCTGTTCACTCAACCCTGTGCCCTCCACCAAAAGATGGACGACGGCGCACTGAGCGCTTTTACACCTCGCTGAGAGCAAAGGCTTCTCGACTTAGCAATCAGTGCCCGGACGTACGGGAACACCGACTCGCAGCGGTGGCGAGACTTTTCCTTCGCGCTTGGTGAGACACGCGCCCAACCCGGGCCGACCTTAATCTCTTGGCGCTGCCAGCCGAGTACCCTACATGCTTATGCCTCTTGAGTACCGGCAGCAGACATAATCCGGCCCCGTGCAGGGACTTACCGGAACGTGTACACGTGCTTTAGGGCCTAGCAAAATTCTGCTCTGTTGTTTGTTATCTCTGTCGGGCGCCCTGAAGGGGCGCCTCCACTATTCCTAAGCTCCCATACAAATACCAAGTGAAAGTGGGCGGTTTTGGATCTGGTCCGGATAAGGCATCCGGATAACTCTTCGAACTCGGCTGAGCCGGATAATGCAACAGGGTTACACGCACAAGTGGCTACAGTCACTTGTAACTCTAACAGACACGACGTCTGTTAGAGGTTCGAAAGACTTTCTCGTCCTTGGTGTAGACGCACCAAAGGCTACATACATTTACGATCACCACGACGGGTGGTCCATAGAGACTTAGGATTCCTATTGGCTGAAAGCAGCATTTTAGCCAATGAGCGACATGCATAGCATTGGAATTCTGGCCACCAGCCGCTGGCAGATTCCTAACTTAGAATATTACATTTAGAGGAAGTCAGAAAGCATAAAACAAAAATAGCAGTTCTCATCTTTTACCAAAACCCGCTACTTGGAGTCTTTATCTTGTTGAAAGTAAACTCGTGGATCTCGAGTATACTTAATTCAAGTAAAAGAAACCTACGCTTCCACATACACGTGCGCATTCGTGGAAGTCGTAGTAGTGAGCCAAGGTAGGCCCACTACACCTGGTAGCACTTAGTAGTCCGTCCAACGACCGACTACCTGAACGTTCGTACGGAGCTGTACGAACGAGGAGCCGAGAACCTTTTCATGAGCGCGGAGGGGCCCATGGAAAGCTCCACTTCGCCTGCAACTCATGTTGCACGCGCTGACTGCCTCCACCTGTCGGATCCAGAGTGGGAGGCACTCCAACGACTGTCAACAATCATTGGGGAGGCGGCAGTAGCTGCGATGCTGCGTACGCTATCGCCGACAGAGCAACATGGTGTTGCTCTGGGGTTCATCATGAAGGAGCAGGGTGATGCTACTTCCTCTATCACGGTGGCGTCGGGGACGACACCGCGCGAGCAATCGTTGAAGCTAAACGTGAGCAACTATGCCGGAAGAGAGGGCGAGCCTCTCCTCCGGTGGCTTGTCGAACTCGACATTGCCATTGCAGCTCGACGTATCGTCGACCCGTTGTCCAAGGTTGCGTTCGCCATGTCATGTCTTGGCGGACGAGCGAGAAGTTGGGCGTATGGGCGCCGACTCTCTGATCCTACGTGCTTCTGCACGTACGAGGGTTTCAAGGAGGAGCTCAGACAAACATTTGAGCCCCCGCAAAACTAGTTCCGGTCGAGGGGAGAGTTCCTCGACCTACAGCAGGTTAAGCATGATGTTCATGCTTACGCGCAGAGAGCACGGTATTTGGTCTCGAACATTGTGACCAACCCGATAGACGAGGCGACCAAGGTCGTCACGTTCATGAAGGGTCTGTGAGATGGGCCTGTAAAGACCTATCTCTTCCGTGAGTACCCAGGCACTCTCGAAGCTGCGATTGCTCTTGCAATGCAGGAGGAGTTTAGTCTGAGGCAGACTAAACTGCATGCGAATGCGCCGAGGCTGCAACCGCCTCCGGTCGCGATAGTGGGAGGTCCGGAACCAATGGACCTCTCGAATGCAACGGCTGTTGGTTATCAACAGCAACAAGGAAGTAATGTACGATGCTTCCATTGCGGAAGGATCGGTCACTTTGCCCGAGAGTGCACGGCACCCGAGCACCGAGATGGTGGTCGACGCGGCGATGCCGGGCATCGTCGCGGACAAAAAAAAAAACGCTGGAACCCAGTAGGCGCGGGGCGCCCTACTGGTGAAGCAGTCACGCATGTCCAACTCGGACATGCGACACTGAGGACTGCAGCCCTCAGTGACGACCCTTCTCACTGCAAAATGCATGATGAGAAACCGAACCTTGTCATCTTGAACGTGTCTTCGAAGAGAGAGAGAGCAACTCATTTTGTGCTTTGGTTGATTCGGGCGCGTCGAACAACTTTGTTCGACTGCGAAGTCTATCAAGGCTTGACTTCGATGATTTAAAGATACCTCGAAGTATGTTGGAGGTACGACTGGCAACGAGTGCCGTCGTGAAGACCGAGAAGCGCATGGTACGCGTGCGCTTCACGTATGAAGATCAAGAGTTTTTCGAGACCTTTATCGTCCTGGATCTGGACGATAAGTTTGACATTGTATTGGGCATGCCGTGCAAGCCACGGCATGATCCGGTCATCGATTGGGAGAAGCGCACTCTCGTGCGCTTCGGTCGCGACAGCGGAACAGTGAGCGATGGCCCTGTTGCCGCTACGCACGCACCGTCAGATGCGCGCGACTCCCCACTCGAGACAGCGCCTAATGCCGCTGTCCCGGAGCGCCCTGAGCGCGCGCGAGCACGCGCGCAAGAGCAGCAAGCGTCGGCGTCGCCGCCGACGGTTGAAGGAGAAAATGTGTTGATCTCGGAGATCGACACCCGCTTTTCAGCGAATCAGGAAGAGTCTCCGACCTCAAGGGGCACGGAAAACGCAGGCGAGTCACACGCCTCAGCCGTGGAGGCTGACGCGAATCTGATTGGATCAGTTTTGGCCAATAATAAGAGCCAAGGTGACGAAACGCCGTCGACTCCGGGAGTCGATGCTGCAGGCGGTGCGGACGGTTGCAAACGTCCCGCACCGGAAAATCTTGCATGCTGTCGTGCAGCCGGGCTGCACGACGAAGCGCCTGGCGACCAAGCCGGGCTTGAAGTCGCTCGTCCGCGGGATATACCCGCCGGCGGTATACAAGAAGAACACCCGTCCACGGCTGGGCCTGGACGAGGTCAAGAACCAAGCGGAGCCGGGCTCCGCAAAACAAGAAGACGGCGCATGCGAAGGTCGCTGCGCAAGTTTCGGCCTGGGGCCGAGACGCTACAAGAAATGTCTGCCGGGCAGACGGGGGCTGAGAAGCCGGACGTCGAAACGTTGAACGTCTTGACGCGTACCTGTTCCGGGTTCCGGTACAGGGAGATGACTCTCGCTAATCCTCCGACGCAAGCGTCGGAGTTGACTTCGCTTCCAGTCGTGAGCTGGAAGCGCTTCGCGCGTGACTT